GTACCAAATAGCATGATAATATACATATAGATACAGTTGATAACAATGTCTTGCTGCTGTTACTACACTATATACATAATAAACATCCAATGGTTTAGATAAAAATTAAAAAAGACTATCAGTATTGTGCAGAAGATAAAAAACTAGCTATGCAATCTTAATCTACCAGTGTTTCCTTTTAAAGGGCCACAGTGTTTGTAATTTATTATGTCCTACTTGTTGAGTTCACCAACTTTTTAAAAACCAATCTTCAATGATAGACACCTGTGAGAAAATATAAACAAAAATACCAACCAACTATACTTATACTATTTGCTAAGGAGTCACAAATTAAAGACATCATTTCTACCCTTTCTAAAACATTTTAGTCTAACAAGACATTTAGGAAGAAAATAAATGAAAGGATACAAACATACTAAAAAGCAAGCAGGATATAAAAATGCATAAGCAATTTGTTTACAAATACACAATACATATAAACTAGTAAATATGTAGTCTTATAACCACATATGTACAAAGTCAAACTTTCTCCATCCAAGGTCCTAAATTACCTGCATGAAGTTTTCAGAGGTTATTTTTATTACTCTTAGGCTACAGACTGGCTCCTATAATCAGGAAAGAGTTCCACAATCTTATCCTTTTCTACTTCCCAAACTCTGCTGACACCAAAAGTGCATTTCCTGCATGCTCACAAGCAAAAATAAAGAGAAAAGTAATCAAATGCAGCATTTATTTAACAAGACATCTTTCCTCTCTTATTCATTATATTATGTTCACACAAGGTAGCAATTTCTTCAATCACCACAGCAATCTCAAATCCACTACATACCTGGGAAGTGGGTTGCTTAGGTTCATCCATTCTCCCAGGAGACTCACTTCTGGCTCTGTGTCTCTCCGTCAAGGGAACAACACTGCCAGAGGGGCTAAATCTGTTGGAAAAGGAGCACAAAGGGGACTAACAGGAAAGTAGTGTCGATGAGCTTAAAAACTGGTGACATCTACCTCCTTTATAGTCTAGGAAGGGGGAACAAGTTGAACAACAGACTTCTAAGAAGTCCTTTCATGGAGTCAGTATAGAATCATGAATACAGTAAGAAGGCTTCTCAGGTGGCGCCAGTGGTAAAGAACCTGCCTGCCAACGCAGGAGACATAAGACACACAGGTTTAAAAAAAAAAAGATACACAGGTTTGATCCCTAGGTCCCCTGCAGGAGGGCATGGCAACCCACTCCAGTATTCTTGCCTGGAGAATCCCATGGACAGAGGAGCCTGGCGGGCTACAGTCCAGGGGGTCATACACAGTTGGACATGACTGAAGCGACTTAGCACACCAGCATGAAATAAGAAAAGTTTGCCCTACTAAATTTTTAAGAAATAAAAAATGACATAGCTGATAGACCATATGATCTGGTGATCATATGCTTCTAAACATATGAAGGCTAAACGTAAGCTTCTATCCTTATGTTAAGTACTAGAAGACCAAAAAGGAATAAATTAAAACTAGGTCCTTTGTTTCTTCTATGTAAATTTTAGGTTTTTGGTTAATCCTTTCACCAAGTCCCATGATAATCTGCTATATATTTCAGGCTGTTGATATAGACTGTGGAGATCAAAAACCTTTGCCTTTAAAGCTATTTAGTTTCTGATACAGTTCTAACAGGGGGACAACAATGCTAATACAGGTGACAGTAAGTATTAGGCTCAAGAATATTTTAACTATTAAGGACAGAAGAAGGAAAATACTAAACCAAGACCAACTGAAGTAGATACAGTATATACCCTCCGAATTTTGTTTTGCTTTTTTTTTTTTCCTTTTTTTACTCTCTGAATTTATGACACATTTATCTCTCAAGACCAGATGTGAACCAAAGGAATATCTTCTTTAGTTACCATTGTTAATTCACTCAATTTTAAACTTTTAAGAAAGGAAAAGAATATTACCAATCTAAGTTGGTAGTACTTCTCTCTTTAAGACTTTCTTTCAACTTAGGTTAAAATTATTGTTACTTCCCCCCAAAAGAATATTCTAACAATCGCAATGTATTAGAAAGAGAAAAATAGGGCATAGGGCATAATAGCACTGGTGAAAAAAAGAAACTCAGGTTTACGGTAGCAGCTGTCATCATTGAAAGAAAACGGAAGAGATAAAGTCAAATGACAAGTGAAAAAAAGGAATGAAAAACACTCAAAAAGCCTTTCTTCGGTATTACTGTGATTATGCTAAAAAGAACCATCACTGCTAGTACCATACTTCCTCAAATGTGGTAGAAGGGGAGGCAAAGAAAGGTAAACTGCTACAAAGGAAAGTGAAACTCCCAGAGGCCACCTACCTGTGTGAGAACCTACCAAGAAAGGGCAATGCTGTCAGATTGGCAGCTGATGATCAGCTCTCTTCCTGGAATTCTGAAGAGGCCCTGGCAATTACTGATCCTACTGTGACTGCAGATGCTATTCTGATTCATGAAGTGTCTAACTTTACCATAGTTCTCACAACACTGTGAACACTTCAGAACTAGGAGCTTCCTGCTTTAAAAAAATTAGAATGCAAGTCTTTTGGCACACTTTCAGTTTCCCCCACATAAACTTATTTTGATGAAGAACATCAAGTAAGGAAGATGCTCTTCGTGTCACGGAGGGCCTGCTTTAGCTATGTCTACACAGTAAGCCACTAGATGGGCAAACAAAACAACTTACCTGTCAATCTCACTGCTTGTTGGCCTAGCCACCTTGGCTCCTGAGGATCCTAAAGTATAATTCTCCTGTCCTACAGAGCCATGGCCCGTGGTGTCAATCACCATGGCCGTGACCTCCTCTGCACTACTCCCGTCTTCTCCGGAAGGCTGATTCTCGGGCCCAAGCCACTCCTCTAGGTTTTCCGTTTTGATGTGTACTGCTCCCAGGACTCTAACGTCATCGTCACTCCGGGCTCCTCGGTCTGCTACCCCTGTCTCCACGTACCACTGTCCTGCTCGGTTGATCCGAAGGATGGGTTCCCGGCTCTCTACATCAGAACTCTGTTCAATTATCTGCGGGCTGGTGGACTCCTCAGGAGGACTGAGCTCCCGGATATCCAGGACAGCACTCACCTGACCTCGCCGGTTTCCCTTGGGGGTATTGTGTCGGGGGCTGAGGGAGCGGTTTAGATTTGGTGTAACTCTGTGAGACTCCGGAGGTCCCTCTGCATGCTTGGTCCTTGTTTGACTTAATTCGGCTTCAACCTCAGCCACGTTAATTTTGAAATGAATGCCCTCCAGGATCTGGGTACATTTGTCTATAATGTGCTGCATCTGCAGAAAACTGGCAGCGGTCAGGTAGCTGATGATATCCGCCAGTTGCAGGCATATCCGCCCCGTATAACAGAAAGAAAGGAGCTGTTCAAAAACAGTCGGGTTCTTGATGACTGAAATGGAGACAGTACTCATCTCATTCAAGGACATATGATCCCGGAAGTAGGGGGAGCTGGCAGCCAGGACCACCTTGTGAGCCCGAAAAGCTTGTCCTTGCACGTTGACCACGATGTCACAGAGACGGCCCTGCATGCGCAGCTGGTTCAAATGGCTCAGGACAGAGTTGCTGAAGTCAGGGATCTCCAGTTGTATGTTCCCACTTTTCTCCATGGTCATGCCTGAGGGTGTAAGCAGGCATTCAACCCTGCTGCGAGAGAAAACCGAACCCTCATCAGTAATTATAACCACTCCTTTGCAATTCAAACCTATTTAAAAATATTATTCAGTGAAATTTCTAAATCTCCAAGTAGACAAAGATACCTTCCTTATGTTTAAATATGGAAAAGAAATATCAACAGGTTGAGTAGGTTAGGTTTCAAAGCAAGATACCATTACAACTAAAAAGATTGTTTAATAAAAAAAAAGATTGTTAGACTTCTAAAAATTCAAGTTATGCCCATAGTTTCCTTATTAACAAGCTATGTAACATCAAAACTGAAGTTCAACAGAATAGAGAGGATAAAAGAAAACCAGTGTGACAATTTTTATTTTCTAAATGTTGATCATAAGGTATTGGCACACAATATAACGCAACAGCTTTCTGAATAAATTTAATTATACACAGGTGGGCGACCAAATACCCCGCTGAACATTTTACTACTTGCTGCATGAATTAACGTTTATTATTTTACAAAGTGACCAACATCCCACATAAGCCACTGTATCTAAGCTGAAGAGTCAGAGCCCACACAAAAAGACTTTGGGTTTAGCACTTGGAGGCCAACTCTAGGTTAGGAAAAACTCCAAGTTTTGTCAGGACGAAAATGCAGATTACTTGAAGAAGTTCACCCTCAGGATTAGGAAAGGGGAGATAAAGCTGCCTGTATCTGAATCCAAAGTTGGAATTTTTAGGGTGGTAATGATACTTTGATTCTATAGTTTAGTTGCCCAAAGCTGGTGAAAAACAGCATTTACCATGTATAGACAATAATTTTACTTTAAAAGATTTTTAAAACAACATCTGAACCAATAAGCCTGTAACTGCATCCAATAATCTTCACCAGTTGAGAGTAGTTTGTATAAATACCATTAGAAAGACACTGACTTGAGCACACGTAGTTACCTAAGATCTGAAAGTTCAGTAAGTTATTCTGACAAGCTCACAGTATTGCCCGAAATCACAACACACTTATCAGTAAATAGGGAAGTGTATACACTGCGTTCAAGAACCAACTTTAGCCAATCTGACCTTTTTCCAAAGCGTTTTTGTTTGTTTTGAGACTTTTAATCCAATAAGAGCCTCTGTCGATGCCATCATGAATTCAGATGTTTATTTTGGAGCCTACACCAGCGCCTTTTTTTGTTTGTTCTTTCCGGCAATTCCCCAGTGAGGAGGAAGCCCCTGGAGTAAGGTCTTTTTCTACCGTCGGCACTGGAGGGGTGAGAGCTGCAAGAGGGAGAATCGGGAACGGCATGGGGTTGGCCACTCCGGTACTCAAGTGGCTTTAGTCCGCATTGGGAAGCGTGGGGAACGGAGAACAGGCAGAGGGGCGTAATGTCACTGAGGAGCGGGGGCGGAGAGAAGAGGAAGGCGAGCGGATCGGGAGCGAGCAATCAGGTGAGGGTAGAGGACCGGGAAGGGGGCGGCGCCCCGGGACCCGGTCCAGGCGGCAGGCGTAAGCGGGCGGGGAGCTGCCCAGAGGTGGGTGTGTGTATCTGGGTGTGTCGGGCTGCCGTGGGGGAGGGGGCCGCCCATCCCGGGGTCCTGAGGGAGGGGCCCACGAGGGGGCGGGTCCCACAGCTCGACGCGGCCCGGGGCCAAGAGGGTGGAAGGTCTCCGGGTTCCTTGAGGCGGGGTGGAGGGAAGTGGCTGAGCGCCCCAGGGGCAGGCTGCGGCGGAGACCGGGCGAGGCGGCCCCAGTGCAGGGCAGCGGGACTACCGTGTGGGGCCCGAGCCCAGTCAAGGAGCAGCACCTACCTCCGGGGGTGGAAATGGGCCGGAATGGGCCGGAACACCGTCCCGGAAGTGAAACCCCCCACCCCCTCCCCCGGAGCGGGCGACGTGCCGGAAGGAAATCACTCACCCTTATACCGCCCCCCTTCCCCCTCCCCCAGCGCTTTCCGTCCCTCGCGCCCCCTCCCCTCTCTTCCCCTCCTCAGTCGGTAGGAGGGCGGGAACCCTGCATCACGTGGGTAACTGTATCCCCGCCCACAACGGTGAGGTGGGCGGGGCCGAGGGCGGGGCCGAGGGGCGGGCTTGGAGGACGGGACGGGGGTGCGGCTAGAAGAGGAGGAAACTGAGACCGAGGGGGAGGAGCTGAAGCCGTCTCTGGAGGAGAGTGTGCGTCATGACGTCATGGCGCACAATACTTATATACAGGCGCCTGGGCGCCATCTCGGTCTTTTGTGGCTGCGAGCCGGCTCTTCCTCTGATCTCTGATGCTGAGTAAGTACTTAGCCTGAGTCCTCCAGCTCTTAGCAGTTTGGGTATGCTTGAGTTGGCTGGTATGCCTAGGCCACTTGCACGCCATCGCAGGGCTCTCAAGATGAGATGGTGGAGGATTGCGAGTTGAGTGCGGGGACAATCTAGTTTATACTCTTTGGGTTATAGGCCCTATCTGCGGAAAAAACCGCAGCTCGTTTGCTCTGCCTCTGATGAAGCCTGTGTTGGTAGGGACATCTGAGAGTGTTGATGAATGCCAACGGCTCTGATGGCGGCGCAACCCGACTCGCCGAGTTTGTCTTTGTTAATGACCTGGGAATGAACCTTCCTCGGCCTCCTGTTCTCGGGAAGGCCACGTGGTTCTTTAAATGGCGGCGTTTCGCATTGCACCATTTTTGTCATTGCTTAACCTTAATTTTGTGGGGTTCTCATGCAGTAATGGGTGTGTAAACGATCTGTGTACATGATATGTAAGTGACGTAATCTTAGAGCAAAATATATTTCTAAAATTCCTCACCTTTTTGTAGGAACCGCGGCAGGCATGACTCCAGTGTGGATTTTGATGGCTTCTGGTGGGCAGGTAAGAAATTGCTGAATACAGTGGGAAGCGTCGAATCTTAGATATGGTCTTTAAGCCTGTGATGGTTTACAGAGTAGTGGACAGAAGGGATTTCTGAGAATTTCTATTCTGAGGCTTAAATACTTGAGACAATGATTAGGTTAACACCATAGTATATTTCATTGGATACTCTTTTGTTTTCTAGTTGTGTACCAGAAGGATGACAACTACTGCTGGGGTGAGTTACTGAAATTCCCTCACAAGGGAAGGTTAGGTTCAAAGTCCACTGAATGTGCCACAATGATGACAGTTTATTTGCTACTCTTGACTGTGAGGATGACGAGAATTATTACCACCATTATTTTAACTGAGGCACACGAAATGGCTGTTCGGAGAATACAGAGATTGCACCTTCTTTGACATGAAACTTTTCTTCCCAGGTCTTAAAGCTCAAGCTTGCTGTACCTATGAGCAGACAGGTGAGAAACCATTTTTTATAATCCATATTTACCTACTACTGTGAATTTTTTTTAAAAAGGGACTAGTGAGTGCCAGGTGGATACTGGTGCTTATATTAGGAACTTCCCCCCCTCCCTTCTTTTCAAATGTTAATCTCTGCGTTCTTTTGTTATAATGATTACTAGGGGGAATCTGGAGAAACAGATACTGTGATGGTTGCATAGTTCAACAGATAGGAATCATGAAAGAGAAACCGTTTTATCTGATGTATCTGAGTTAGTAAATATTGCTGGTAGTAGATGTAAACTACTAGTACTAATCTAGTTTCTCTTTGTTTGTAGCTATTGAGCAGACTTGGCTGGAAGTTGAAGAGGTAAGTAAAATTTCTAGTGAACTAAACTGGGCAAACACGACAGAATGCCACCAATGACTTTGTAGGGTTGCCTTCTAATGCATGGGAAGCAATCCTACCTTGAAATGCTTGAAAAGTGTACTGAAAGCATTAAATAAAAGCCAGTTCCTTGTCCTGTCTTAAAAACGGCCTGTGTGATGATAAGCAAATGCTGACTGAATATGAAGGTCTTAATTAGCTCTATCTGATTTCAGGCATTTTTTAAATTTGTGGGGAGAAAATTTATTTTTGGCTATTAGAAAACCACTCTTTTATTTCTTAGGTGAACTTGAATGCTTGACCTCTCAAAAACAGTTGGCCTGACTTTTTGGTGAGTACTAATGTCAAAAACATTGTTACAGAGACTGCTGATGAAGTTGAATGCTTAACTACCAAGCTAATCTGCCTGGTTTGTAAGTGCATGTTGAGCATGCTATGAAAAGGATGAAACGGGGTTTTTGTAATGATGTTGAACAAATGTCTGACCTGAAATTAGCATGTTGACAAGTCTAACACTGAAGGACCCTTTGACAAAATACTTGAGAATTTAACAATAAGATTGACATTTTAATGAAAATGTCTTTTTCCTTACAGATGATGGCTACATGTTTTTTTCTATGGATGACTTCTTTGGGGTAAGACATGAAAACACTGCTGGCATTTGGGCTTACATTGTTTCTGAAATGTGCTGGTCCAAGTAGTTGACCTTTGATGGTGTTTTCTGATGTTGGACAGATCAATCTTACCTAATTACTAAGCAAGGTACTGTTAGTGATGATTTTTATAATAAAACAGATGGGAATCTCTCTGAAAAAGAATGAAGTTTTTAAAAACTGAAACAGTATCTTGAATCACTATCATTAGTATTTTGAAATCTGTTACTACTTATTAAAAATAATTTATTTTCTGCAGGTGTGAAGAGAGGTAGTGACTACAATGCAAGGAATGAGGAGTTCTAACCAAAGGTATGGAAGTCTCAAGTTTGGTTTTTGTGTTTTCTGATTTAAAGCCGATACAATGATGAAAACATAGTTCAGCAGACTAACAGTGATGAGCAAACACTGTCTTTCGCTCCTATCTGATGTATCTGGCTGCAACAATTCTGTTTTATACCCTTGAAAGTGGAGATTATTCAATTAGTCCTTGTCTCACTGAAATGTTCAGGATTTGGATAAGTATAATGTAAATATCCTATACAGTTAATTTCAGGATTAGGAATTAATATTTTGATTATAGACTAAAACTGAGGAAATTTCCATGTCATAACTGTAGACAACACCAGAATGAGGTACTCAGCTGATGTTTGATAGTAATTTTTTAGAGCAGTTGAGGTTCACAGCAAAATGGAACAGCAACTGCCTATGTAGCATCCTCAATCTCACTGTCAACATCTAGCATGAGATTGGCACTTCAGATTCTGAGTCTAGGGCTAGTCCATGTGATCGCAGAGTTGGACACAGCTGAGCCTGCATTCCACATATTGACTTACATTGGAGTTCAGTCATGGTGTTGTATATCCTGGGTTTGGCCAAATGTATCATGAGAAAGATCCACCTTGCCCAGAACAGACTCACTGACCTAGAATTTTTTGAAAAATGTTAAAATGGGAGAAAGGGCAAATTTTTAACTGAATATTTTATAAGTACCGCGCGCTAACTGATTGCGCCACTGGAGCTCTTAACTGAATATTTTAATGGCATCATAATATATATATAATTTTACAATGCCATGTTGTAAATGAAAGTCTTTATTCATTTTCAATCAGGCAGATGTTCTGTTGTCCTGAAGATTCAAGGTAAGTTATTTTCTGATATTTTTTGATGAGTTATAAGGTAACCAGTGATGTGATGATTCTGCCAAATGAATAGAATGATATCAACCATAAAACCGTTCCATTTGATTCTGAGGTTACTTTAGCAACAAGTATCACTTTTTTTTTTCCTTTACTGTGATTTAACATATGGTCATGTCTTTTCAGGGCATTTATGATACCAGTCAGACGTAACAGGTAAGCCTCGAAAATAACTGTACTGCTTTGTTTAAGAATATGTGATGATCTCAGCCCAACTTGAACTCTCTCACTGACGACTTGATGATGTTCAAAGATCTGATATTCTGTGTATCCCAAATGGCATTAGAATTGAAACATGGAAAGGGGAGTAAAAGTGGCTTCTCTGTTCTTGCAGGCAGCCAGATGGATGCATGTGGGATAGAAGAGCAAACAACTATTAATTGGCTGCTGCTCTGCACAGCCTGTGGGATTCTAGCTTCCTGACAAGGAATCAGACCTGTGGCTGCTGCAGTGGAAGCTCAGCCCTAACCATTGGACCACCAGGAAATTCTCCAGCTTTCTATTGTAATAAAGATTTATAAATCATTTTGAAGTATGCTTATTTCAGTTTCATAAGGTGTAGGAAAATGGGGCACTGGTAATCAAGAAGATCCCATGGCATGTTTTTTGAGATCTTTAAGGTAAACACTGCAGTTGTAACATCTTTTTAGAAAATGGATACTGGTTTTGCAGATTTTGGGGGTGTGGTTCAAGTTAATGAGAAAAGTAACTCAAAAGTGAGTTGCTAATTCCTAAATTACCAAGGAAACCATTAGTTCCGGCAACATCCAAAAGTGTTCAGTTCAGTCGCTCAGTCGTGTCTGACTCTGTGACCCCATGAATCGCAGCACGCCAGGCCTCCCTATCCATTACCAACTCCTGGAGTCTACTCAAACCCATGTCCGTTTTGAGTTGGTGATGCCACCCAACCATCTCGCCCTCTGTTGTCTCCTCTTCTGCCCCCAATCCCTCCCAGCATCAGGGTCTTTTTCAATGAGTCAGTTCTTTGCATGAGGTGGCCAAAGTACTGGAGTTTCAGCTTCAGCATCAGTCCTTCCAATGAACACCCACTGTAAGTACCTGCTAATCAAATTTAAGCTTTCTAGTTTGGCACTCTTAAGTGTGTAGCAACATTAAGTTGGGGTTTAAGTCTTGGTTGCTTGCCAAAACATTTAACTTCCCAATAGCTGAAAAGGCCAAAAATTCAGTTAACATAGGAAAGCTTAGCAGTTTGGGATTTATTCCTGTAAAAGGTTGACATTTTTTTTTGGCCGCATTTGTTGATCACTGTTCGTTCACCCAGGGATCAAATGACCAGGAGGTGAACCTGAGTATCCTGTATTACATGCAGATTCTGTACTGGCTGAACCACAAGGAAAGTCTCAAGTCTCATTACCTAGCACTATAGGCACTCCGATTCAATCCTGGAGTTGGGAAGATAACCTTGGAGAAAGGAATGGCAACCAGCTCCAGTGTTTCCAGGCGGGCTGTGGTCCATGGGGTTGCAAAGTTGGACAGGACTAAGTGCATATAGTATTAGAGTAGGCCCTACGTAGATTTTGAAACATTTTGAACATAAGTTTATTTCTTGGAATATTCTAAACCATAACAGTTTGAATTAGCCTTAAGACTTTTCTGGGCATAAGGATATTCAAAATGCAGGAAACAATACATTGTAAAGCAATTGCCCAATGTCCAGAAGGATCTTCCCCTGTGAGTGAGACAGTAAAGAATGCCCGTGCAATTGGGAGATAAGGGTTTAATGTTTGGGTTGGGAAGATCCCCTGGAGAAGGGAATGGTAACCCCCTCCAGTATTCTTGGAGAATACCCACAGACAGGAGCTTGGCAGACCATTGCTTGACTGTTCATGGGGTCAGGCATGCCTGAGGGAGTAAGGAAAGCATAGTTAGAACAAGTTCAACTTGCTCAGTCCAACTCTTTCTGACCCCATGGGTTGTAACATGCCACGCTCCTCCATCCATGGGATTTTCCAAGCAAGAACACGAGTGGATTTCCTTATCTATTGTTAGCTCTAAGGTACTGAGAGAAACCCCTAAGCAAATGGTATTTTGGGCCAAGTTACTGATATCTTGTTTACAGTTTACAATTGGCTTGTGTGCTTCAAAACCCTGGTTATTTCCAACTTATCCCCTGGATTTCAGCATAAGCCTCTTTTTGCTCTGACAGGACTGAATAACTGATAGCAACATGGCATTATATGAACTTCTGGGGACCTGGGGTGTGGTGTCTGTAGGCTACAATAATTCTTTGGATTTAGGGAGTCATTTGTAACTCATTTTCAGGACAGAAAGAGATTGTCAGAATTAGGCTCTAAACAGTGAAAATTGTAAGTTACATTTAGAAAGTAGGTATTGTACTTGTGGGATAAATGAATGTAAAGATGCATTTTCTTAACAAAGGGCATCTATAAATTACACTGAGAAAGGGTAGGCAGAGCTGGACACCTTTCTCATAACTGCCAGCAAGGATCTTTCTGGCTCCAGAGTACATCCACAAATGGGAAAAGATTGGGTTAAGGGACAAACTAGGGAAAAGCTCCATCTAAAAGACCCTGATGCTAAAGGTGGGAGTAGAAGAGGATGACAAAGGATGACATTAACATGAGTTTGAGCAAATTCCAGGAGCTGATGATGGACAGGGCAGACTGGTGTGCTGCAGTCCATGGGGTTGCAGAGTTGGACACAACTGAGTGACTGAACTGAACAGCATCATGAAGGACATGTACACGTCTCATAGCCTACTGAACATATTAGACCTGGACAGATGATTACAGTATCACACCGCTTATGGCAATGTGAGAAAAGTAGACTGGAATGTAAGAATGTTTGGTATTTATAAGTTGTAAATCAAAAGAATGTCAAGGCAAAAGTTAAGATAAAGTAGAAAAGAACAGTCAAGACCTTATTCCCATTTTATAAGTCTTTATTTGTGACAACAGACTGTGTAAAAAAATGAATAAATTCCAGTGTTCACTTTTCAACATTTGAGGTTGGTTTAAGGTTAATATTTTCAGTTATAATTGAGGAAAATTTATTCAAGGATTCATGATTATTTAAAAAAATAGAAATATAAACAATAATGATTAGTGAGATTACTGTTTTCCTTTTTACCACAGATGTCAGTTTTGTTTAACCTAAAATTATAAAATACATAGTATTTTAGTATAAAATACCAGCATTCTGTTTCCAGATGGATAATATTTAAGTAATGCCTGAAAGGTTTTCAGAGCATTTTTACTCATGTTATCTTCCACATATATTTATCTCCTAGGATTCTGACAAGAGGGATTCAGGGCAAGTACTGTTCATATTTCGCATATACAGAAAGGAAGGCCAAGAGAGATTTACACAGCTTGCGGGGTAAAGCACTGATGAACACTTTGTGACCTTTATTTCAGTGCTTTTTTGCTTTGTCATGCTGCTTCTCACTATATTACATTGATAGCATAAATGTCATTACCCAGGTCACTTTATAGGATTCTCTTTGTGAAGCTGGTTGCATTGACCCCTCCATCAACGCACCAGTCTAATGGGGCAAGAATTTTTCCACATTTTTACATGTGGTTTGACTACTTCTGTCCTAAGAGAACAGTCTACTACCCGAGTATAAAAAATGTGATTAGAAAACACTATGTCATTAATGTTACTCCAACAAAGAGCCATCTTTCACACCTTTCCAAGTAAAAAGAAACTTCAAAAAAGTTCCAAATAATCCTAGTAATGCACGTTATCATGAAAACTGGATGCCTTTTATCTGTTTCTTCATTGAGGTGAAAGAATGTAGCCTGGATTTCTTCCATCTAAAAACTTGAAGTCAGATCTGTGGTCGAACTCCAGATCTGATTTAGCCTTGGGGAAACAAGGGACAAAATTCAACAGCTCAACTTTCTGAACGGCACGGATGATTCAATGAGCTCTTTTCTGTTTCTGCATCTGTTGGCCAGGAGACCTGGATGTGATAGGGCTTCAGTTCCTCAGGAGGGATAGAATCTGGGGCATTGCTCATGAGGTCGTGCCCCCGGAAGGATTTGGGGAAGGCTATGACATCTCTGATGCTTGGTGCTCCAGTGACAAGGCACATCAGTCTGTCTAACCCTGTAAAATATAAAGTTGATAACTGAGAACATAATCTAAGGTTGAGGGTGACTTAGTTTTTCTATAAAGTTTGTACAAAACTTTTAAATAAGAGCCTTTAATAAGTTGCAGCTAATCATAATTCCCTGGCCTTTTTAGGGAACTTTTGTTTGAGAGGTTCTTTTCTATCTCATTCTAGAAAAGTGCTCAGGACTAATATTCACATGCTACTGGGATTAATAGTCACAGCAATTAGTGAGACCTTAGCAAGTGCTCATTGAAGCTGAACAAAATTAGGTACTGTGCATGGGACTCCAAAAACGCAGAAGGAAGTCCCTGTTGTTGAGGGCCTACAATCTAGGTAAGCTTCCTAGAACCTCTCACACTCTTATTTGAAAAAACTAGCAATGTGAGCAACCAGGGCCATCAGAAAGGCACTGGCATATTCCTGATTTCACATAAGCTGAATACTGTGGAGCAGTACTTTTCATACTCCTATGAACGTGTCTGAGCCTCCAGGGAAGTGAGCAATATTGACTTAAGACTGTCTAGTTTTATTCTATTAAAAAACATTTCAAATGCAAATTATCAGTTAAGTTTTATCTTTATAACTGGTTAAATATATTTTAAAAAACATATCATCAGGGAATCACCTGGTGGTCTAGTGTTAGTACTCCACGCTTTCATTGCTCAGACGGGGTTAAATCCCTGGTCTGGGAACTAAGATCCCACAAGCCACACAGCGTGGGCAAAAAAATATCAAAATGAAAAACACCAAATTCCTTAGAACTCTTGGGCTCACCTCATACCCTCTTTACTCCTCCACTTCCCCAAGCCCACCCTTCCTCATAAGCTGAGAGCCCAAATTTGACACTTAGGCAATGGACTGAAACAAGGTGAAAGAGGACAGATTGTTTACCTAAAGCAATTCCTCCATGAGGGGGCGCCCCATAATCTAAAGCCTGGAGCAGATGGGAGAGCAATTTCACATCTTCCTGAAATTCAAAAGATAATTTAAATACATACTGAGGGCCCCTATGTGCCACAATAATACAATTAGTTGCTAAAAAAAAAAAAAAATGAAAAAAGGGAAAATAAAAGTTGAATTAAAAAAGTACCTTTAGAAGCCTACAGTTTAGCAAGAGAATATGACAAGTCAGGGAAATCATCATGCAGAGAAAGGCCTGGGGCTCAGTAAATGCAGCTATTATGCTGATAATACAGACAGTAAGACCAATTAAGGACACAAGATATGGCCTCAGAAAAAGAAGGTAAAAAGGAGGACCTGGTCCTGTCACATGGGCTAAGAGGCGAGGTTATCAGGAAGGCAACAGTGCAGATGCTGCCAGAAGATAGACAGCTTGTGGGCCAACAACAGGCTGCTGGATCTGATGGCCACAGGCAAGATAACTTTTATAGGCAATGCCTGTGGAAGTGTTGCAAGTGTGTCTGAAATGGTTCCCTAACCAGACAATAGATCACAATCAAGCGGGGGAGACTTTAAGGAACAAATGCCCCAGTCTCACATCTAGAGCTTTTTTATTTTAATTGGTCTGCTGAGGAAAAGTGAGTGGTTTTCTAGTTTTGTTTTTAATGCTTTACATTAAAGCATTCTGTTCTAATGTGCAGAAGGGCTGAGAGGCACTGGTGTGGATGAAGAGCAGTTCAAGCAATGTATTCTCACTGACATTCTGAGAAGCTTGAAAGGAATGAAGAAAAAAAGAAGCTGGGAAACTGGTGGTTAGGGGTTTTGACTTAAGAGGAGAAAAGTTAAGGGAGTTTGTAACGTTTTTAAAGCTAGACTGTCCTGAGTTCTCCAATCCTGGTCTCAGAAATAAAGTTCCTCAATCCCAAATAACCCACCCCACAAAGTGATCTTTAAGGATCAGACTCTCTTGGACCTCCTGGACCAAAGATTTCCAAGGATTTCTTGGGCCTCCTGAAATCCATCCTAGCCTCCTGAAGAGTCATCAACAAAGCACAGATTCTTAGGCTTGCATCTACATAGACTCTTCTGAAAATTCTGATTAACCCACTCTCTGTCATTATCATTAAAATCTACCCCACCTCTAATACTAAGTGACATAAAATTCTTTCAAACTGCTCTCCTTTTCTCTAGAAGTATCAATATTTTCAGGACTTCCCTGGTGATCCAGTGGTTAAGATTCTGTACTTCCACTGTAGGGAGCATGGGTTTGATCCCTGGTTGCTAAACTAAGATCTTGCATCCTCTGGTGTGGCCAAAACTGCACCCCCCACGCCCCCAAACAACACAGTTTTCAGCCACTTCAGACTGCATCCACTTTGGAGCAATGCAGTGAGTAGGAGGTTAGGAGCTTGGGTTCAAGAGCAACCCTGCCTGGTCCTGAATCCTGGCGCTGCTTATTTCTGTGCTATGTGACTTTGGGCTAGGTTCATTAATCTGTTTATCTTTAAAATGAGTAGAATAAGGGTTTTAATTTAAAAAGTAAGTGTGAGGGAACTACCCTGGTGGTCCAATGGTTAAGAATTTGCCTTGTAACACAGAGCATGTGGGTTCAATCTCCGGTTGGGGAATTAAGGTCCCACATGCTGCCGAGCAGCTGAGCCCTTCACCGCAACTACTGAGCTGTAACTATAGAGCCCACAGCTAAGATCTGACACAAAAGAAATAAATAACTGTGAGGATTAAATGTATCCCTGCATATAAGGTGCTTAAACAGTGCCTGACATATAGTAGTCACTAAAAAATACCCATTATTTTCATTTATTTTTCAAAGTCTAACACTAAAGGTAGAGAAATAAACTGATACTCTTCTATAGCTACTGAATCCTCTATTCATAACAAATTTTAACAAAACAGACAAATATTAGGGTTTTAAAAAAAGGCCAGGTTAGAAGATGATGTTACCTTTAGTACTGTGGCCAGGACATAATGCTGAAGCTCTGAATTATGAATTCGGATAGAACCACCTCCTATCTCATTGCCGTTTAAAACCAAGTCATAGTGCTGGCTACGGACCTAGAAGATTCAAAGAGCCTTTGGGTTAGAGAAAAATCTCTAGTTTTCTCTTCCGTAGGTTGAAGGCACTGTAGCTACTTAGGACAATGGCTCAAATCTGACAGTTTCTTCTGGGGCTTCTGGAACTGGGTCAGACCACGAAACCTGAAGTTCTCTGCCTTGTTTCCATATTTCCTTTTAATTTGGAAGTATAGATATCATACCTTGTGGGGCTCAGTGTAAAGAAGGTGAATGTCACTCGGATGGGGAGCAGTAAACGGGTGGTGGGCTGACTCCAGCTCTTGGGGATTTTCCTCTTTGGGAAGGAAGAGGGGGAAATCCACCACCCAAAGGAAGGAGAACAGAGCTGGGTCACGAAGCACCACTCCTCTTGCTTCTAGAAGGTCAGCACACTCCAGTCGTAATTTTCCCATCAAAGAGCACTGCAAACAAGATACAAACGTTAACTGTTGTGACAGAACAGGCAGCAAATGACACATGTGGATTCTAAAGCCAGGTCTTTCTCTGAGAAGTGAAAGTCGCTCAGTTATGTCCGACTCTTTGCAACTCCACAGCCTATTCAGTTCATGAAATTCTCCAGGCCTGAATACTGGAATGGGTATCCCTTCCCTTCTCCAGGGGATCTTGCCAACCCAGGGATCGAATCCAGGTCTCCCGCATTGCAGGTGGATTCTTTACCAGCTGAGCCACAAGGGAAGGCCAAGAATACTGGAGCGGGTAGCCTTTCCCTTCTCCAGGGGATCTTCCTGACCCAGGTATCGAACCAGGGTCTCCTGCACTGCAGGCAGATTCTTTACCAATTGAGCTATCCAATTTACCGATGAGACACTCTCTGCCTCTCAGGAGAGAAGGATCTGAGGATGATCTGACTGCGACATTGCTGAGGATGATGGTCACACTCAGCAGACTTGGTGAGTATCTGCTAACACAGTGACTTGAGAACACAGGTACCAGAGCTTGACTGACATGGGTCTGTATCTCAGTTTGGCTACTGACTAACTCCTCTGCACCTTTTCCCACAGTAAAATGGAGATAAAATATCTAATCTAAAGACTACTGTGACGATCAAGTCAGACAAGCTCTGTACTATGAACCAGTCATTATGATGAGTATTTCCTCACCGTTCCTCAAGGACTGTGGGGAGGAGCTGATGAGAGGCTGGTATACACTTAACATTCAATAAATGTTGGCCATTATTAGGGAGGCAGTATGGGTTAGAGGTTACATTAAGAGTGTGACGTCTGGAACCAGGCTTTGTGGGTTAGAAGTCAGGGTCCTCCACCTCCTAGCTGTGTGAGTGTGAACAAATTCTTAACCTCTGTGCCTCAATTTTCTTGTGTAGTCGCTTAGTGTCCAATTCTTGCGACCCCATGGACTGTAGCCAGCCGGGCTCCTCTGTCCATGGGATTCTCCAGACAAAAATACTGGCGTAGTGTATACCTATGACTGATTCATGTTGGTGTTTGGCAGAAAACAACAAAATTCTGTAAAGCAATTATCCTCCATTAAAAAAAAAAAAGGAATACTGGAGTAGGTTGCCATTTATTTCTCCACTCAAAGTTTACTTTTTTTTCCCTGCACAACATATGTACTTCCCTAGCTAGGAATCAAATCCATGGCCCCCTGCAGTGGAAGCACAGAGTCTTAACCAATTAGACTGCTGGAGAAGTCCCAGTTTTCTTACCTTTAAAATAGTAACAGTATCAGCACTTCTCTCAATAGGGCTGGCATGAGGATTAACTGAGTTAACATACACTAAGTACTTTGAACAGTGCTAGGCAAGCAGAGCGAGCTAACTGTGATTAAGTGCTAACTATGACAGGCAGGGCACTCCTGAGAAAGAGCAGTTAGAATAGGAGCTACTATGCCTGCACACAAGCATAGGTGTCCCTCGGTACCTATTCTATCTGCCACCTAGATACCCACACAGGGCACCCGCACTGTGACGTATTCAGAATGCTAATAGTACTCCTCATAAATCAGGTTTCCAGTGTTCTCCCGAGGAAGTTCCAGCAGGAATCAGAGCAATATCTTCCTGAGAGGAGAACACGAGCAGTTTTCCATTCATATCAGGGAAGAGTTTAACAGCCAAATGAATCTGCGGCAGGATTTTTTTTTTTTGCGGCAGGATTTTTAATACAAAATCCCAAATTCTTTTTTAAGAAATGCATGGACACATTGTAAAACAATCACCAATCAATCAAAGTATTAAAAAAAAAAAAGAAATGCACTAACAATAAAATTTGTAATTTAACTGGTGAATCCCCAGGCAAATTTAACAGTACTGGCTCATGGCTGGTATTCAAAAATAATGTTCATAAATGAATTAATTTAAAGAGTGACTATAATTTCAAAAAAGTTGTAATTAAATAGCTTTCTTCACTCTTATTGCAGGGAAAGGGAAGGGCAGTAGATTAATGTAGGCTTGTAGCTGAACTCTGAAACTATTCCTTTGGAAGAAATAATGATAAATAAGCACAGTACAAATATAAATTAGTAGAATAAACTTGATAAAAGTACAAATTAGGCACTATAAGATATACTATAGTGCAGGGATGACTTTTTATCATGTTTGACATTTACTGTATATTTAGTATATTTTCTTTCTTTTTTTTTTTGGCTGTGCACTGTGGCGTCTGGGATCTTAGTTCTCCAACCAGGGACTGAAACTGGTTCCCACGGGGTGGAAGCACAAAGTCCTAACCATGGGACCACCAGAGAATTCCCTACATTCCTTAAATTTTCTTTTTAAGTATTTCTTTTTATTTTTTGGCTGCTCGGGACATGGGATATTAGTTCCTCGATGAGGGACTGAACCAACACCCACTACATGCACAGAGTCTTAATCACTAGACCATCATGGAAGTCCCCCCACCACAGCATATTTTCAATATTCATGTTTGAGTTTTAAATCACCCTTTGTATATTTTACAAAGAGGGCACAATACAGTCCACAGGGTCACAGCGTTGGACACAACTGAAGCGACTCAGCATGCACACACAAACCACACGTTGTATATTTTACAGTGATCGCTAAAGTTAAATCCACTGTTCCATACATCTGAAGAATGGTGATTTAGCCAGTGTGTGGCAGCCTGTACCACCTCCCAGTTGCTGCTCCTGAGGAAAAAGGATTCTGTCTCAACTAAGTAGGACCAGGAGTGCTGCCAGCCCAGCAGCTCTCCCACAGTCTGATCCGTCCCTCCACATTTTCAGGAATGCATTCCGTACAAAAGTTTGGGACTACCAACTTTTCTCAATCTGCTAAACTTCAAAAAGGAAAATTTTTTTCACAGTTATACAACGAGTATCAATAGCCCTCTCTCTACCTAAGTAGCTGTCCTCATCAGAGCCAGAGCTAATCTGTGTGAGCAATGCCAGTGGAGGCTGGTAGCTGAGGCAAAACCTGTAGTTTTTACACAATGCATTATAAAATGCCAAAAGACATTTATTAACATAAAATCTGGACTTCTCTGTTGGCGCACTGGATAAGAATCCACCTGCCAATGCAGGGGACACATGGAACTTTATCAAAAAGACCAGCATCCTGGTCTGGGAAGATTCCACATGCCATGCAGCAACTAAGCCTGGGCACAACTACTGAGCGTGAGCTCTACAGACTGCGAGCAGCAAGAACCAAGCCTGAGTGCTGCAATTACTGAAGACTGCATGCCACAATTCTACTCTCCACAACAAGAGAGCCCTGTGCAATGGGAAGCCCCTGCTCGCCACAAGTAGAGAAAAGCCCATCCAGCAACGAAGACCGAGTGCAGCCAAAAATAAATAAAATTATAAAATACATATATATAAAACCATGCAGAGCAGCTCCATTTTACGAAAGTAACAGTCAATTTCAAATATGTACTACACACATAGGAGAAGAGAGGCATCATTCAACACCAACAGCACAGAAGCCTGGAGGAAACTTTTCTTACTGCTCTCTTGTGCTCTCCGGCAGTGAGCAGGACCACATCCTCCTCTTGGGTCTCCAACAGTTTGACAAGTCCCAAGCCTTGCTCCTCCATTATGAACTTAGCAACTGGAGAATTCCAGTTTTCATTGGTTTTCAGGAATATAGGTAAGACTTCCTGTGATAAAGAAAAAGACTTACAGTTTTTAAAAAGCGGGGGTGATTTATTTTTCCTGTAGTACAAAGATTTCTTGTTTCCAAAAGAAAAAGAACCTACATGAGATTATCTCTATTTCCTTCCTGATACCAAAGGGCTCTAAAAAGTAATCTCACAAAAATGAAAAACACACACAAAAAGGGAAAGAAGGGTGGGAAGGGATGCAGCAAGTAAGAGATTTCTGAAAATTTTTGGCAGGTTGCATGTGAGTGAAATAGGAATGACCAAAGAGGCAAGATGAAGGAAGCTCTAGCCTAGAGAACACTGGAGCGGCTTCAGCACAAGAAGGAATTGATACGGCCCAACACGTGGATACACCCCTACGTTCACCCCATACAAGGAACAAGCTCATTTCTGTCCCCTGCCTGCCCCTGTCCCCATCCTCCAGTGAACAAACAATTAAGGGAAACTGTTGTTTGTTCTTGCTCCCCTCTGTTGCAGCAGGGGCCCCAGTAAAGCCTTGCCTGAATTTTTTTTTTAAAAAGAAGGAACTGATCTCACCCTGCAAAATTCTGAGGCACAGGGCCCCTGGGAAACAGCCATCCATCTTGCTGCTCACTCAAAAGTAAACCTAACAATTTACAAAGGGCCCTTTATACAGCTTTTGATATAGCTCATTCTTAAATATGTATAATTAATAATCTCTACACATTGAATAAGCTATAGCATTAAAAAAAAAAAGTCCCCTAGAGGAAAGAGATAATTTAGGGACCAAAAATACTCTAATCTTCAAAGGTATTAAAAAAGATACTTTATCAATAAAACCAGATTAAAATGCAAAGAAGCAAGCAAGTGCTAGTAGGATATAAAAATATGACTACTTAAATTTCAATAGGAGAGCTGAAGAAATCTTCCCAAAAGAATAAAAAAGACAAAATGATGGAAAGGACATGAAAACAAAAGAGACATGCAAGTTGCAAAAAGAGGTCCAACACATAAGTAAAGATGAAAGAAATTAAGCTTCATATTTAAAAGGCCCCTCAAGTGTGCAACACATGCAATGTTACTTCCATGTCTTGGTTATTGTAAATAGTGCTGCTATGATCACTGGGGTGCATGTATCTTTTCAAACTAGAGTTTTCCTTTTTTCTAGATATATGCCAGGAGTGTGATTGCTAGATCAAATAGTTAACTATTTTTAGTTTTTTAAGGAACCTCCATGCTGTTCTACATATCGGCTGCATCAATTTACATTCCCACCAACAGTGTACGAGAGCTCCCTTTTCTTCATATCCTCTCTGGCTTTTATTATTTACATAGACTTTCTGATGATGGCCATTCTGACCGGTCTGAGGTGATACCTCATTGTAGTTTTGGTCTGTATTTCTCTAATAATTGGTCAGCTGTATGTCTTCTTTGGAGAAATGTCTACTTAGGTCTTCTGCCCGGTTTTTGATGGGGTTCTTTGGTTTTTTGATATTCAGTTGTATGAGCTGTTTGTAAATTTGGAAATTATGCTCTTGGTGGTCACATCATTTGCAAATATTTTCTCCCAGTTCATAGGTTTTTTTTTTGTTTTGTTTATGATTTCCTTTACTGAGCTAAAACTTGTAAATGTGGCTAGGTCCCATTTGCTTGTTTTTGTTTTTATTTCTTTTGCCTTGGGAGGCTGATCCAACAAAGAATTGCTACAATTTATGTCAGAGAAAGTTTTGCCTATGTTCTCTTCTAGGAGTTTAAAGGTGTCATGTCTTATATTTTAAACATTCAAGCCATTTTGAGTTTACTTTTGTTTATGGTGTGACAGTATGTTCGAAGTGTGTTTTTACATGTGGCTGTCCAGCTTTCCCAATACCACTTGCTATAGGGACTGTCTGGGTAGTCCATTTTCAATCCACAAACACAGCATTTATACAGTTATGATCAGTGAATATATAATTCTGTATTCTCCTTTTCTTACAGATCATTATAACCTGAATATTTCTGCTACATTACAAACTTCAAAAAGGAACTTTAATATTTATATCTTTAGTTCTTCCTTAATTTATTAAACCACTCCCATATGATTTCATTTTATTCCTGTAAATAATACTGTGTGTAAGTGTCCTCATATCCAAGATCCTTTCTTTAAATTATAGAAAATTACTGACTCAAAGAGCATGACCATTTTTATTTTTATTTTTTATGACCATTTTTAAAGTTATTGATTCCAAAATGATTGAGGCAATTCACACTTTCAGTGACAGTGTAAGAATGCCCATTCCCCGCCCCCCCAAAAAAGAATGCCCATTCCCTGCTCCTTTTCCTCCAGATTTTAATGTTACCATTCACCAAGCCAAGAACACAAAGTATATCTAAGGACAGGTATATTGAGAATTTAAAAAAGGGTATGGGAAGAATAATGAATATTGGCTTTCTTTCACACTAACCATGCTTCATTTAAACCTTGGGCACATTAAACTTTGGGCTTTATTTAATCTTCCCAACTGTATTAAAGTACTATTATTTATTTTTAAAAGGCTATGGTTGAAATTTGCATTCTGATTAACAGTAAATTCAACTAAGTTGGAATCTTGGAGTTATACCCAGGGGTAAGATTAACTTTAAAAAGAAAAAGAAGAAAAGTAGAAGACTGATCTGAAATAACAAACCTCTCAAAACTACTGATAGCATAAGAGCACCAGCAATTAATAGTTAAAAATATTGAATCCCTAAAAGAAAGGAAAAAACCTGCTCCTTACCTCATTAAAATGGTCAGCTGCAAATTTTCTAATGGACTCAATGTCCTTCCTTTTCAAGTATTTCTGATGAAAGAAAAAGTAAATTCATCAAATATGACAGCTTCACAAACATGTCTATGAAATGAGAAAGAAATATATTTTGTGTCTTTCGATTATAATAAGATTCAATAAAGATTTAATTTCTATTGTCAAATGATAAAATTTTAAGACTTATTTCAGGGTGTATTCTTTCTAACTATGCAGGTCTCAATGGAAACAGCTGTGAATGTATTCCACAGAAGACTGTGCATACATAGTATGTTCAAAATGTATCTTTACAACTGAATTGTGAAAGATCAACAAAATCAATAAGGCTTGCAATTTGATTATTTCAGGTCACTTAAAATTCTTTATATCTTATTTCTTTAAATTATCCCAATGTGTTTCTAAGTGAGACACTATGGCTATCATCATCACTAATATTCATGGAGCTCAGGTACAGGAGATATAAAGAGGTGAAATCATGGCTCATGACCCTGAAGTCTACATGCAGTTCATGACCCTTCTAATCTACTTGGGAAAGAATGGATATACTCAAATTGGGATAACTAATATCAAGAAATATATGTTATACTGAGCTTATCTGAACACATTCACTATATCTGGACTAGAGTGTGGGCACCAAATTACTTTCCACTGAACATATGAAGTGAGTAACAGGTAATGGGACTGAATTCTTATACCCATTTTAAATATACTAATATGCTTATATATCCAACTGAGTAGTCTTTCAAAATAGTCATCCTATTCAAAATACATTTGGAACTCTTCTTCCTAAATTATTTCCAAAGCAGATGTGCTAACTACAGAAAAAAGACATGTCCCATTACTAAACAGCCCATGCTTACCCAACCCAACCATTCTCCTATTCTCATTTCTATTCCTTTTGCTTTTCATAGCTCCACCTCCTTTCTCTCTCCCTGTTATTAATACAATAGACCCCAGAGCCTCAGAAAACCTGACCCAACAAGCAATGGCTACGCTGGAACTGATACAGGACTGGGAGCCTTTGGACAAACTGAGACTGGAAACAGAAAAATAATCCCAAAGGAAGCACAGGAGAACTTTACAGCATTAAAAAGAAAAATAAAAGCACTAGATCTTGAGTGTAAACTCAAATTCACAAGGTTTTATCATTCTCTCCTTATAGTTCTAGAGACACTCAGTTCAGTTCAGTCACTCAGTCGTGTCCAACTCTTTGCAACCCCATGGACTGCAGCACGCCAGGCCTCTCTATCACCAACCCCCAGAGTCTACCCAAACCCATGTCCATTGAGTTGGTGATGCCATCCAACCATCTCATCCTCTGTCGTCCCCTTCTCCTCCTGCCCTCAATCTTTCCCAGCATCAGGGTCTTTTGAAATGAGTCAGCTATTGCCATCAGATGGCCAAAGTATTGGAGTTTTAGCTTCAACATCAGTCCTTCCAGTGAACAACCACAACTGATCTCCTTTAGGATGGACCTGTTGGATCTCCTTGCAGTCCAAGGGACTCTCAAGAGTCTTCTCCAACCCCATAGTTCAAAAGCATCAATTCTTCTGTGCTCAAGCTTTCTTTATAGTCCAACTCCCACATCCATACATGATTACTGGAAAAACCATAGCCTTGACTAGATGGACCTTTGTTGGCAAAGTAATGTCTCTGCTTTTGAATATGCTATCTAGGTTGGTCATAACTTTCATACCAAGGAGTAAGCGTCTTTTAACTTCATGGCTACAGTCACCATCTGTAGTGACTTTGGAGCCCCCCCAAAATAAAGTCAGCCACTGTTTCCCCATCTATTTGCCATGAAGTGATGGGACCGGATGCCATGATTTTAGTTTTCTGAATGTTGAGCTTTAAGCCAATCTTTTCAGTCTGCTCTTCCTCTTTTATCAAGAGGCTCTTTAGTTCTTCTTCACTTTCTGCCATAAGGGTGGTGTCATCTGCACATCTGAGGTTATTGATATTTCTCCTGGCAATCTTGATTCTAGTTTGTGCTTCATCCAGCCCAGTGATTCTCATGATGTACTCTGCATATAAGTTAAATAAGCAAGGTGACAATATACAGCCTTGATGTACTCCTTTTCCTATTTGGAACCAGTCTGTTGTTCCATGTCCAGTTCTAACTGTTGCTTCCTGACCTGCATACAGATTTCTTAAGAGGCAGGTCAGGTGGTCTGGTGTTCCCATCTCTTGAAGAATTTCCCACAATTTATTGTGATCCACACAGTCAAAGGCTTTGGCATGGTCAATAAAGCAGAAATAGATGTTTTTCTCAAACTCTCTTGCTTTTTTGATGATCCAGTGGATGTTGGCAATCTGATCTCTGGTTCCTCTGCCTTTTCTAAAACCAGCTTGAATGTCTGGAAGTTCACGGTTCATGTATTGCTGAAGCCTGGCTTGAAGAATTTTGAGCATTACTTCATTAGCGTGAGAGATGAGTGCAATTGTGCAGTAGTTTGAGCATTCTTTGGCATTGCCTTTCTTTGGGATTGGAATGAAAACTGACCTTTTCCTGTCCTGTGGCCACTGCTGAGTTTTCCAAATTTGCTGGCATATTGAGTGCAGCACTTTCACAGCATCATCTTTCAGGATCTGAAATAGTTCAACTGGAATTTCATCACCTCCACTAGCTTTGTTCGTAATGATGCTTCCTAAGGCCTACTTGACTTCACATTCCAGGATGTCTGGCTCTAGGTGAGTGATCACACCATCGTGATTATATGGGTCATAAAGATCTTTTTTGTACAATTCTGTGTATTCTTGCCACCTCTTCTTAATAACTTCTGCTTCTAGAGACACTATTAGACTCTACATGACAAATTACATTTTTTTTTGTATTTAAAGAGAACGTTTCTCTCTGAAGCCTAAATGTGCCAATATTGAACATATTTACTTCCCAAGTACACATTCTAGAGAAGACACAGAATTGGCTCCACTTACTGCTCCTTTATGGATACATATGGCTTTGACAGTCCCTTGGGGCTTACTAAGGGCATCTTGGAGAAATCCAACTTCTGTGTTTCTGAACATGTCACTGATATCTACAATCTGGAAAACAGAAGAGAATAAGGTAACTAAACGTGAGGTCATTTTTATCACAAAACCTTTTACAAACAAGAGTTTAAAGAGGAGAGTAGATCTTAACATTTACAGAGCACATTCATTGAGTGTTTATTGCAGGTTGGGCATCATAACAATGTTAAGGTACCTCAACAAGAGTATGAGGTAGGCCCTCTTATTATCCCCATTTAATAAAGAGGAAACCAAGGCACAGAGAAATGACTTGCCCAAGATAACACAGCCAGTAAGTAGCAGAGCCAGAATTTAACTTAGGCAGCCTAACTTAAGAAGAACCACCATTTCACTTTACAAAAGAAACAAGGAGTAGTTAGCCTGGCTGCTTGCTGTAAGCAGGTAGGTAAAACTTTCTCTGTGTTATATTTTTTTCATTATAAGAATTAAGCGCTGCCTATTTGTGGACCAGGCAGAATTCAGTTTCTAAGGAATCTACATTGAGAACTCAGATAAATGTCATCAGCATTAGAGCAATGAAGAGCTGTTGCTCTCTAAGAGAAAATAAAAAGAGATTTCCTAAGGGAAACTGCTCTGTGAATAAACATTTCCCATGTTTGACCTCTTTATAGACCAGGGAAAGAGAATAAATAACCCTTAATCATTTGCCTTCCAAGTGCCATTTTAGCTTAAGAAAAATTCGAGAGGAAAGAGTATGTTTTTTTTCTTTCAAGTTGCCATTCATATCCATGTAACTAATAACCTGTCAGTAGTAAAACACAGCAAGAACCTTGCTCTTGAAAATGGATCTTGGAACACAGTAGATAAGAGAAAAGGTATTGTAATGCTAACATGCTATTCTTCTCTCTTGCTGTAGCTGGGTAACAACAAAGTAGCAAGCTAAGGGAACAGCAAAAAATATGATATAACAGTATAACTGGTTGTAAAGGTTAAAGTGGTTCAAAACTGACTACAGGACCATTTGGGGGCAGAGTCCTGGGAAAAGTGAAGAAAAGTACCTTCATCCCAAAGCGAGTGTCAGGTTTATCAGTTCCATAGCTGGCCAATGCCTCAGGAAAAGGCATAGAAGGAAAAGGGACCGCCACGGGATCTTTGTCACTGGGCCATGAATACTGGAGCAAGCCCTCAATTAGACTCTGGATGCCTGTCTGGTCTACAAAGGACATCTCTATGTCAATCTGAAACCGAAACAACATACGGAAACTAACTTGAAGAGCCACCATATTAATATGGACATACACAGTTATGTATTTCTCGTTTCAAATTACCGTTGGATTCTGTTCTTAATACGTGGGGGAGCAGGTGAAATATTGTAGTATGTCTCTTTTGTGCCAGGCACTGTGCTAATGCTCTACATACATCAAACTGTTAGTTCCCACAACTATCTCACGGCTGAAGGCTCAGACAGGCTAAGTGACTTCTGAGTGTGTGCAGTTAAACTGTATTTGATCTTAATGTCTGTCCATCTCTAGATCTTATGGTTTTTGTGCTTCACCTACACTGGTTAATATGATATCACATAGAAACTAAATCATAATAGCTTTGTTCACACTGACTAGATCTGTTTACAGATTAAATATCAACACAAAAAATTGTTGGTTTTAGTGCATAAGAGATTTTTTTAAAGAACTTTATCATATCATGGTCATTGAAACACTTTAGGAATCTGCCCTTCCTTAGTTTATGACCATATTCTTTTTAATTTATTTATTTATTTATTTATTTTTGACTTTTGTCTTTTTTTTTCCCTTTATTTTTACTAGTTGGAGGCTAATTACTTTATAATATTGTAGTGGTTTTTGCCATACATTGACATGAATCAGCCATGGATTTACAGGTGTTCCCCATCCTGAACCCTCCTCCCACCTCCCTCCCCATCCCAGTTTGTGACCATATTCTTTTTTTTAAATTTATTTTTTAATTGAAGGATAATTGCTTTACAGAATTTTGTTGTTTTCTGTCAAACATCAACATGAGACCATATTCTTTGTAAATGGATCAAAAATTAAATAATTAATGCCTTAACTATAGGCTGGTTTAGTTAAATATCTGATAGATAAAATGCAACGAGAAGAAATTATAATTTCTGTCCACATTTTTGGTGTAGCAAGGTTGAATCAATAAGAGATGAACGAACATAACTAAGTACCTGAGTAAATTCGGGCTGTCTGTCTGGTCTCGAACCTTCATCTCGATAACATCTGGCAACCTGAAAATATCTACAATTGGAAGATAGCATTAATTCAGTCAGGATTCTAGAAACACACACACACTTTCCCCTAATAGTTCCTGGCAATGCAGGCTATGAAATAATACTACTAAAACAACATAAGAAACTGTAAAATTCTTAATGATGCGCTAACCTAATCAGACATATGGTTGACCCATGAGAAGTTAACTGCTCTATATACTGTCTTAAAAATATACAATGGCACCTTTGGATGTTCATATATTAGATTGACACAGGACAGCCCATGCTTCTTTATACATACTCTTTTGCTTCAGCCAAATTGAAATACCTACTGCTCCATGAATATACTTGAGCCTTCCTGGGCTATGCTGTTCCAACTTTCGTTTTCACCTGCCGAAATGCAGCTCTGTCCCAGAAGGCCTAGATCACAAAGTTTTTAATGATATTCCCCAAAACAATATGATTTCCAACTACTTAATGCAACCAGTTTGCAACTCTCAGCATACTTATTTTTGGTTTATGTCACACTTGATCTTTTTTTTTTTTTCACACTTGGTCTTATTATCCTGTTTTGTCTTACTAGATTCATCAGCTCAAGAGCAAAACCTATTCTTTTTTGTTTTTAACTGCTTGCCCCATCTATTAGCATAGAGCTTTGTATATGATGGACACCTAATAAATCTTTACATAGTAACCACATGTTTTTAGGGCATTTTACAAGTATTTTCCAAACTCTCATACATTTTTGAACCTTCTTTTAAAAGATTAGACAATTTTGTGTTTCCTTTTCCCTCTTTCCCCTCTCTTTTCCTTTTCTCTGGCCACTGCTAGCATAAAGAAAGCTCACCTGTCTAGACCACCAACCATCAGAAGCTGCTTAAACTGTTGAGGACTCTGAGGGAGAGAATAAAACTTCCCAGGTTCCCTGGATGGTATTACAAACTCTTTTGCACCCTTTGAATGAGAGAGAGGGAGTGCAGAAATATTATTAAAAGAACATATCCTAAATAAATAAATAAATAAACATATCCAACAACTGGTAGTAGTCAATACTTCAGTTCCTCAATGAAATCAACTAATGGGCAAAGTTCCCACAATGACAGTTCATTTCTTACTCATCCTTCAGTCCCCAAAAGGTTTACACATAGTAGGCTTTAAATAGTATTTGTACATATTAAGTATAATAATATTTGTACTTATTAAGTATACTTAATATTATGCTTGTTGAAATGAATGCCCAATTCTGTTACTAGTTAAAAGGTTTTTTTTTTCTAAATCTGGAATCCTGTTCATTTATTATTTTTGGCTGTGCTGGGTCTTCGTTGCTATGCAGTGGTTTTCTCTAGTTCCAGCAAGCAGGAGCTATTCCCTAGCTGTGGTGTGCAGGCTTCTCATTGAAGTGGCTTCTCTAATTGCAGAGCATGGGCTCAGAGTGCACAGGCTTCAGTAGGTGTGTTGTGTGGGCTCAGCAGTTACGGGGCACATGGGCTTAGTTGTTCCGCGGCACGTAGAGTCTTTCTGGACCAGTGATAGAATCCGTGTCCCAGCACTGGCAGGCTGATTCTTAACCACTGGACCAGCAGGGAAGTCCAACTAAAAGGATTTTGTGCATCAGTTCCTATGCAAGTAATTCTTAATTGCTTTTCTAAATTTAAACTATAATTTTATAAGTCCATGGATTGTATAAATATCAGTGTATGGAAATGTCAGTTCTTAATGAACAAGTGATTTAGTTTTAAAGAACCAATTCATTATTGATTGGTAGCTATAAAACTCAATGGAAAGAAAATGATATAGGATTAAAAGATTCTGACTAAAAGTACTAACCCATACTTTTTTCTCAACTCTAAAAATACCTAGTTAATGTGACTATCCTAAGGCAGTAAAATAAAAGAGATTGAACTAAGGGAATATAAAAGCAAAGTGGTCTAGTTTCATAACTAACAGGACATTATTTGTAGGTTGACTTAAGGAATATACATACCCCTGGAGTCCTCTTAAATAATGTTGGTGTTTCTACATCCACAAAACCTAAAAAAGAGAGAAATGTCAGAATTTAATAGATGGGAATTTACCAAATATGAATTTACCAAGTACAGTCCAACAAATCTGAGGCTACCATTTAATTAGGAATTTTGACTGTAATAAGTTACCAAGCACATAAATGCTGGTTTCTACTAGTTCAAGAGGGAAGCTGAAGATTTTAATAAAATTCTATTCTGTTCATAAAGTTTGTACTCCTGTCCTGAAATAATTGTGTTGATGGATTCTTGTGTATTGAACTGTTCTGGTTTTCCTCCTGTTCTGCTAGCATAGCAAATATAACACAAATATAGTAGAAAAAAGTTCAGGGCTGATTGAAGAGTCTAGTTTCATTCACATGACATTTCTTCTTCTTTTTTTTCTTTTATTTATTTATTTTTTCTTTATTTTTTCTTAAATTTTATTTAATTGGCTGCCTCAGGTTTTAGTTTGGGCATGTGGGATCTAGTTCCCTGACCAGGGATCAAACCTAGGCCCACTGCTTTGGGAGTGTAGTCTTAACAATGAATTACCAGGCAAGTCCCTCATGTGACATTTCTGAGCTCCCAATAAATGATGTAACCATGAAAAACAATTAAGAAAACTTACAGGTAATAACCAAAGGGCTGGTCCACCTTCAATGTGATGGGGAATACATTGTTGACTTACACAGGCACTATCACCTTGAAAAGTCTATATTTATGACTCAGTAGGGAACTAAATTATGCTTTATGTTACTAAATTATGTTCTAGGATAAAACACATGGAAATTACTCTTTCTTTCCTTACCATGTAGATTACAGAGATATTCCCGCATTTTCATGACCATCTGGGATCTCAGTCGCAGGTTATACTGCATTTGGACACTACGCAAATCTAAGTAGCGGTACTGCAAACGAAGAGCCTCTGTTTTCTAAACAAATTGAAAATTTTTCATGTTTAAATATGCTTCAAGTATTAAAATATTTCAAATATGTTTCAAACATTAAAAAGATATTAACTTGAGACACAGACTGAATTTTCAAAAACTTTAGCTCTATCTTTAGCTTCTAGCAGTTGTATATACACCAGCATCCTTAATTCCCACAATTTCTAGGCTTGTTACTAGTACAGATTCTACATTTTTCAGGGAACCACACTTCACTGACTGAAATTTGTCTACTTTTCTAAACTTGTATCCATTCATTTTTACCCCCTCTTTTTTTCTTTTTTGACCATACCATGTGGCTTATGAAATCTCAGTTCCCCAACCAGGGATTGAACCTGGGCCATGGCAGTGAAAGGATTCTGGAATTCTAACCACTAGGTCACTGGGAACTCTCTATCCATTCATTTTTAAGCCTGGAGTTTGATCTTGAAAAAACAGAAAAAGTAAAGATTTCAAAGATTATTAAAAAATAAACAACAGAGCCAAAAACAACCACGACTTTATCACCTGAATGGGAGAAGTGTAAGAAATACAAGGGAGCAGAGGACAACGCTCCAACTGTACTAGCAGGAACATAATGAGGAGGCTGCTTATTTTTTAAGATGATAAATCTTTGCCTCCCTCTTGTGCTGACAACTTTTTTTAAAAAAGTCCTTTCCCCAGAATAGGTTATTTCTTTGACACTAAAATAGAAATAGAAGAACTATCTGCCACTTCTCTTTTTAAGAGCTCATAGCTGGGGGAAAACTGTACATTTCCTTTCTCCCCCCCTAACAAGGTCAACTCTGTAATTATATTGCCTCTTCTAATTAAAATATTAAGTACTGGGAACTCAAATGTAAGACAAAGTGGCCATGCAATTAATTTAAAAATGTTTTATAGGTTAGTTTACAAATTAGGTATTATACAGGTAACTATAGATTATTTGTGACAATTGTAGATAATTGTCACAAAGCTGAAAATTAGCTGGGCTTACATATTCGGGGCTGTCTAGCTTTCTCAAAGAATATCTTAAATTAAAGTAATCATATTTGTATGATTTATAAACATATTTGTATGATTTATAAACATTTTATCATTGTTAGAGGCTTAAAGTTAACATGTGCATTGTCAGAGGCTTAAACTCAATATATGCCATTTGCCATTCAATGGTAGACATAAATTTCCTTTCAAAATATAAAACCATAGCAACAAAAAAACTTGAACAAAATGACACCTAAGTCTTAAAGACAACCATGTTTCCAGTGGTCTGAAAACACATTCTAGCTTAATGAAATGTTGATGTTTAAGAACAGTTTACCAGGAAATTGTAAAACTAGAAGAATAATGCATGACATAGCTACAGTAGAATGCTTAATTTCGTAGAAAAACTTTCTCTTAAAACACCAAAAACACTTTGCTGGGGGTACTCTTTCTATCCCCTTCTGATGTCTATGTCAGAAGCTTTCTCTATTCCTTTATACTTTAATAAAACGTTATTGCACAAAAAAAAACAAGAAACAAACATAAAAAACACTTTGCTGGTTACCAACATTTTCTAGACACTCTATTTTATTAGTAACAGAGGATGGCACCTTCATAAAGTCCTTAATTTCAAAGGGCAGCTTCTTGCAGGAATTCAGAAGTTTAGCTGTCTTAACTTTGATTTCAATCTCACCTGTTGGCATTTTCTTAAAGAGAGAGAGAAAAGACCTGTTTTAAAAACCATTCAATCAATCATGTACACAATGAATATTTATGAAATGCAAGCATTTATTTACACATGTAAAATGCAGGGGGTGCTAATAATGCATAGTCTAAAACATAAACGTCCTTGTATGACTCTGACGTTCTTATGCATCTTTGTGACTGATGAGCTCATTAACAAATGTCTTAACACGCATATTTATTTAGGTGCTTATGTTCGCAGTGACGATTTTTAAATCTGTAGGTTCATCTGTAGAACCTGCAGAGCTTTAGTGCTAGATATCTAATAGATACACAGTCTCTGTTGCCTGAATGTGTTGATAGTGCAAGTGTACACAGGTAAAATTTAAACGTTTTTAAATTACTAACTGGATTTTCTTGTCCTGGAGGTCGGGAGATTACTGTCCCAGACACTTGAACCACAGATTCCATGGGGGCTTCACATAAAATCTTCTTCACCGAAGCAGCAGACTACAGAGTAAGAGGGAAAAACAGTTCCAACAAACACGTGAACTTAAAGAACTCTGCAGCAACTGTAGATTATGGCTTAGAAAAATGTTAATACTCATAGCTTAATTACCGTAAATACCAGGGTTGCCGTTAATGACTTTATTAAAGAATTTGGTTAAAAAAAAATTTTGGTAAATTGAATCCCCATTTTGACACCATATAAACGAGCATGTAAAACTATTAGTTAGGAATTAAATTTTTTTTTCCTTAAGAGAAAGTAAGAAGAATGATTAATGCAAACAAGCCCCATATACTTTAAAGGCAACTGTCTCCAGGTTAAATTTAGGGATAGTTAAATCCAGGAGCAATGAAAGACTTCTCCTAGGTTAGCTATGCTCATCTCTGATACCTGAAAGATAACCCATGACTCTACTAATTCAAACATTAACAGCTGAGTAAATCCTATTTTTCTCAGTCATATAAACATTTGTAAATATTACCACAGTAGAAACCAATTAGCCAAGAAGCATGGCGAGAATTATCTAATTTTAATGGTAATCATTTTTGGAGCAGGTAGTACCTTCACATGGCTCAAATTCAAAGGGTACAAACAGATCTACAGTGAAGTCTCTCTCCTATCTTTTCCCTCCACCCCTTAATTCCCCTCCTGAGTGATACTCAACATTATGTGTCCTTTCAGGGACATTTTGTAACACACACACACACACACACACCCACACCCTTTTTAGTACAGATAATATCACTCTAAATGCTCTTCTGTATCCTGTTTTCATATCTAACAATACAATTTGGATTTTTTCCCATATTAGTATATAAAGAGCTTCTTCCAGCTTTTCCTTGCTATGAGGATGTACATTAATTTTTATACCAATCTTTTATTGGGGAACATCTAAGTTATTCCCAACTTTCCTTCAATTAAAAACAATTCAGCAGTGAACAATCTGGTATTATATTTGTGTCATTTTGCATCTATGTTAGTCTGTCTGTAAGATAACTTTAAGATAAGTGACTGGAACTGGAATGAATGGTTCAAAGAATATATGCACTTGTGCATATATTTGCATTTATTTGATATTCCCAAATTGCCCTCCATAGTACTAGTGCCAATTTGCACTCCCTCCAGGGATGTATTAGCATTTATTTTCCCAAACACTGTGTGTTGTCAATCTAATGCGTCAAAAATAACAATTCTGTATAATTTATTTATTTATTTTTTTGGCCATGCTGCATGGCTTTCAGGGTCTCAGGTCTTCAACCTTGGGCCATGGCAGTTAAAGCCTGGAATCCTAACCACTAGGCCACCAGGGAATCCCCCAATTTTGTGCAATTTAATTCATATTTTTCTGCCTATGAGTGAAGTTGGCACATTTTCATATGTCTACAGACATATAAAAAAACAGCCATTTATATTGTATCTTCTTTTCTAAAAATTTTATGTTCACATTCTGCATTCATATTTCTACTGGATCACTGGTCTTAAAAAAATGTTTTTATTAATTTGTAGTAGCCTTTCAGATATTAGAGAAATTAGTCCTTTGTCTGTAACATGAATTTCTCATATTTTTTCCCAGTTTGTCATCAGTCTTAATGCTGCTTATAGTAGTTTTAACAAAAATCTCAAGCACACTGATCCAACACGCTTCGTTTATCCTAACCACAGCATCAAAGAAATTTTCAGGTAACAGGAGGACCCTTCTTTTACCTCATCCTGGGGAATGACAACTTGAACAAGTCCATGGAAATCTCTTAGGACCAGGAAGATATTTTGCCTGATTAATGAAGAAAATGAACCTATTAGGATAAAATCTCTGAGACCAAAATTTAAGCAGGCAAAACAAATTAAACAAAAAACCCACGCAATTTCTCATGTTCTTTTTTTATAATAAATACTGTGCTTCATAGCTATCTATATTCATGCAATTATCTACATAGCTTATTAAGGAAAAAACACTTTTTTCATTTGCAATATCAATTTTTATTAGCTATATGTACAGCTTACTAATACTATCCAGATGACTTATTAATAAAAAGGCAGATTTTTAAAATTTTATTAGGTTAAGTCTCTATAAGAAAATTTAACTAAATTTGGAAACTTTCTACATATTAAAATCCAAAAGTAATATTTTAGGATATTAGAGACATCTGATTGGTCATTTTTTAAAATGCAGCAATATAAAATCTTACCTTTTTCTAAATATAAGACTCAATGGACATGTGTTTAAGCAAACCCTGGGAAACAGTGAAAGACAAGGAAGTCTGGTGTGTTGCAGTCCATGGGGTAGGCTTAACAACAACACCAGCACCAAGTATGAGATGCAATCTAAAATTTTCTAAAAGAGGTGTAATACTAACTCAAACCTCTACAAACCATCAAAAGGTCCCCAAATCCCAATATTTTAGCATTCAACCTACATTTCTCACATTGTTTTTAATACCAAGAAGAGGTACAGAAAAGCCTCCTCAGATTTTCATTTCAGGAGATAGAAGTCACCAAATGTATGGGTCAAATATCCACCCAATGGGGACGTATTTTTTAGGAAAGTCACACAATCTATGTGTTTTGCAGCTCAATTAATGTGCTATTCACATATGTTCTAGAAATATAGAGCCAAACAACAAAAAAATGGACTCAACATCAAGGAATCATTGTTCATATTTTTAGGCTTTTCTCTACCTAAATTTAGAATAAAATATGCTTTTTTATGCTTTTGAAGCTTATCAGCTTACCCAATTACTGGCCCTAGGAACTCTTCAATCTTAGTAAATCTAGGGACATACTGTCCTCTGGTGGCTCACACGTCACTATTATACCCTTCAACAGATGTTACTGGTACTTACTGAGTGACACTATTTGAGTCTTTCAAAACAAAACAAAACTGAAAACTCAATGACTTCTGAGAATCCTGTAAGAACTGCAAAGTTTTTATTCTTCTGATGGTTAAAAATTAATAAAGGCTTGAAATTGCTTTGGGAAAACCATCACCATGTGTTCTTACACCACTTGCCTCTACCTTCGGAACTGAATCCATCCACACAAGGTGACTTCTTGGCCTAAGTGAGAAGAACGCAACTCTCCACACGTGTTGGTCCGGGCAACAAAGCTACTGAGTTCTGTAAAAAAGAGGGGGAAAAAGGCAAGATTAAAAATATATCATTTGCAAATTTCTGAGAACAGACTCTCAAATCATACCATCTTCGGTATTTCATGTCAATGGATAAAATCTAAAGTTGAAGAATGTAATCAATCACTATTAAAATTGCCTGCAAATGTGTCAAAATCCAAGTGACTAACTGTCAATGTAAAATTGTGCCTGGTCTTAAGACTATAAATATTTTTGATCACTCAGCGTTTTCACTGATCTGTTCTTAATAGTGCACATTCTTCCTCAAATGAAGTAAAAGTCCTGGAAATTACAGAAGTTTGTTGGTGCAGTAACTGGTTTTAGTATAAGAATCTAGAGTGAAACAGTTACTTGTACACTAAAAAATCCTATTCGAAGTATTCTCAAGTATGCAAGAATATTTTAGGCTTCTTATTCAGGCATCAATTAAATGAATAGACTATTTATGCGGTTACTCTACTGGTCTTTTTAAACTCCAGGGGAAAACATAAAAAAGGAAGAGGGTGAATAATGTGCTTCTACACATAAAGCTAGCCAGTCAAGACTCGAGGGGAAATGGAATAAAGCACTCTAGCTGCAGAGAACAAGAGGCAGTGCTGTTCAGAGGACAAAGCTCCATCCTGCATTCACCTGGAATTCTCCTCTGTGAACTCCGCACCAGCCTTCGGGAGACAGAACTCCAGATCAATTGGGTGGTCCTTCTGGTGGGTGTGGATAATCCCCTGCACAGTCGGTTTAACCAACAGGAGAACATGTTGGAGCCGCAGGATGGTAAGACGCTCAGGAATCTCACGCTGCAGGTGCTGGATGGTGGTCAAAAGTCAGTTTAGGCACTATAACAAATCCCTTAAAACGCCAGGAGTTCCCACTGTCTTCAATATTGAAGCCCTTGTCCGCTGAACATTCAAATGCTCCTGCAGGTAAACTAGATAAAGCTACAAAGTCTTTGGGGCCTTTGGGGAAGGTGAGTAGGGTAAAGATCTTTTAATACCCTTTCCCCCTTCTCAATGCATCCGTTTGCACTTCTATTAGCAAAGGTAGGCCAGAAGCGACGAGCGAATGACTCCATACAGCAGCGCAGGGAGGGACACCACGACCGTGCAGAGGCAGCAAGGGGCCGGTCGGCAGGTACACGCCCTGCCCGTCTTTCCACGCTTTCCTGAAGGTTCCCGCGGGCAGAACCAGAAAATAGGAAAGAAATCAGGCCCGCATTTCAAACCTCCCAAACCTGTCGGCCGACCTCTAGTCTTCAGAAGGAGGAAGGCAAGCGAATCTACAATGTTTCTAGGGCCTGAAACCACGCACACATGCAGCTGGGCGCCATGCCCTCCTGAGCCCACCCCGCGACGAACCCAAATTACGGTAGAAGGAGTCAACCAATCAGAGCGCGGGGGAGGGGGAAGGGTGTCGTCGCAGCCATCTTTACTACGGGAGGAAATTTGGAGTGCTTAACGCTGGTAGAAAAGGGAGGAAAATGACGACAGTGAGAGTAGGGAAATAGACGGTAACAGTTAGATCGTTCCCATGCCCTCAGTTAAAATGGCGACCGCCGTTGCTTCATTAGCTTCTCAAACTTGGAATCGGCGCCGCGGAGACGTCCTGCGTCCGCCCGCAGAGCGAGTCGGGAAACGATTTTAAACGGAGGAGGCGGCTGACCGCCAAGTTGCCGCTTCTCAAAGGCGGGATTTCCGAGATGGTGTTGTCCCCTGAGGGCTCAAGTGCAGAGGGGCGAGGTGGGACACATTGTCCCTTGCCCTTTCCCTCCGCGGGCTGAAGCAGACTCCTTATGAGCGAGGGTCGCGGAGCTGGTGGTTGAGGCAGCGGATATATCCCTTCCGGCTTGAAGTGCCGAGCTGGCCTGGCGTCTTTGGGAGCGGAGGTCTTCTTCCTGGGCCCGTTTGCGTCGGTCTTGAAGCGTCTTGTGGTGGAGGAAGAGGGAATTTGGGAGGGCCAGGGGTTCCTCTGGACTTTCTCTTTGCTGTCATTTTGGCGGCTTTTTTACTTCGAGGGATTTCAGTTTCGATGTAGTTTTGGATCCCGGCTTGAAGAATGATTCGTGAAGGGAATGGGTGACAGCGTCGTCACAGCATTTTATTGGTAAGATGCTTTGTTATTGGTCCAACCATAGCAGTAAACTCTTGTGTTTTGCCCTGTCGTGTGGTCGTTACCCTTACAATACTTGGCTACTCAAGTGCGTTTCACAGGGCCTGCTTAGCTCTGGGCTAAGCATTTGTTGCAGGGTAAGGCCAATTCTGACTCCGTGTTGAAACTGTTTCTTTGACTTGCTTTTAGTTGCTTTTGTTATTATAATACATGGTGGCCTGCCTCAGAATTCTGCACCTCTGCCTGTTATTAAAGTGCCTTGGTTTAGAACCCTACCCGCCTGTAGATGACTGGAAGAAATTAGCACATCCCCTGCCTCAGGCTTGTTCTAGGAGATACTTTCAAGATTAATGGCCTTTTTACTTTGTTTCCTCACCTCCTCCCATCGCTGATCTATAAAAGAACTGGCATCTAGCGCCAGATAGGATGGTCATTTTGAGATGTTAGTCTACCATCTTCTTGGTCAATTGGCTTTCTGAATAAAGTCCTAAAATAAAGAAAATGTATTTTCTTTATTGGAAAATAATCGGCTTCCCTGGACACCTCATCTCTGAATAATTGACCTGTCTTGTGGCGAGCAGAGCGGAGCAAGCTTGGATTTGGTTAATACATTGGTGTTGGGACGATTGGACTTAAGTGTTGCTGGCAAGGTACAAAGGTGATTTAAGTAAGGGTCCATTTCTTCACAGACTTAACCACAGGAAAAACAACTGAGTTGTAATTGTGTGTTCTGAATTGCAAGTGGAAGAGGAATTGAATGGGAGAAGTTTCTCCTGAGGATTTGAAACCTCTAGGATTTGGTCAAATAAATGGGTGTAGAGAAGTAGCCTTAATTGGTTGTAGGTTGAATAAAAATGTCAGGAGTAGAGGCAGACAGGCCAGGAGGGGTGAGCAGCCTCCTGCTGAGCCGTCTAGGCTGGGGACATGTGTTTGGGTGTGGGGCAGCGGTTTTTAACCTTTTAAAGCATCCTCTGCAAGACCTTTCTTCATCCCCCTCTCCTACCAGTTACATGTGCATGAAACATTTTGCATCCAACCTTAGAGGGCTGTTAGGTTTTGGAAAGACCGTTTGTCCATGGATCTTGGGGTAAGAACTAAAGCAGTAAAGAGTGAACCCGAATAGGGTCAGATACTATGATCAGATAAGGTAGTGCCTTGAAGCCCAGACAGAGTTCTGACTCCATTTATTTAGATGTGTGGGAATTGTTACAGGATCTCAAGCAAGGTAATGACAAGGTAAAAGAGGTGTCTGTGGAAAAACTGGTCTTGGGTTGGGGAAAGGGTTGGGTTGGGGAAGGGGGCTTGGGTTGGGAATAAGTGGCTAAAATTAAGAATGGAAGTGAAGGTGATTTGAGAGGGCTAATAAGTATATTTTTAAGAAATATGTCAGAATTTTATGGTAATTTGGATGTAAAACTTGAATGAAGAGTAAAAGATGACTAAGGTGTATTTTAATGGGCAGGGAGAAAAATGAGAAGGAAGAATTGGAACTGTTACTGAGAAACAGGGTAGTTGGAGAGGAAAGATTGGTCGTGGAATAATGTTTAGCTTTGACCTTAATGAGTTCGAGGACACAGAAGTTCAGTGTTTTACAGGAAATTGGAAATGCCGGTGCAAACGTATGAGACCAGAGGAGTCACATATTGAATGAATGTTTCCTTATGGAAAACAAGTGATTTCAGGGTTTGGGGAGACACCAGTTGTTGTAACTGGAGGAAGCGAAGGAGTCAGCAAATGAATCAGAAGAAACTATAAGAAACAAGGAGGAGAAATAGTTGAGTGTTTGAAAAGAACAAGATAGAAAGTTTAGAGGAATAACGATGAGCAAACTTGATGACCCAGTGATTATCCACGATTTTCACAAAAACATTGTTGACAGTCTTTAAGGGCAGTGGTAATCTTCAAATTGCAGTGTCTTTATAGTGATAGATACATAAGAGATTGCTGAAGATATCTAGTAAAATATTTATTAGTAAATGGAGGCAATAGTTGTATACCACAATTCCAGGAAATTGGTCTCAAAAGGAATGAGATGAATAGGTTTTTAAACAAAAAATTTTTAGTGTTAGGAATATGAGAATATGCTCAGCAGTGGAAGAAAAGTATCCCGTGGAATAGAGATAAGAGATGATAGAGGTTTGAAATAACCATGGAAGATTGTGCCTAAGGGGGATGTGAAGGAATATGGAGATTAAGAATATCAGTTGATGGATTGATTTTAGAAAGCAAGTAAAAGGACCTCTCTCCTTATAGTTGGAAGAATATTAGGACAGTAAAATATTGAATCAAGATATATTTTTAATCTCTTTAATTATCAGACAGGGCAAAAAATACTCATTGTTGAGGGAATGAGAAAATAAAATAGATATAAATCATTTTCTGATCTTTAATGCATAGATTTGGCTATTTCACATTACTGTAGTATTAAATGCTCAAGGGAAATGTTTTCTCAAAACCAATCCTTTAAGCTAGTAGTCTTTCTCTCCCTTTTGTTGTTGTTCAGTTGCTAAGTCGTGTTTGACTCTGCCACCCCATGGACTACAGCATGCCAGGCTCCTCTGCCCTTGTCTCCTGGAGTTTGCTCAGATTCATGTCCATTGTGTCAGTGATGCTATCTAACCATCTCATCCTCTGCCATGCCCTTCTCCTTTAGCCTTCTATCTTTCCCAGCATTGGGGTCTTTTCTGTTGAGTTGGCTCTTTGAGTCAGGTGGCCAAAATATTGGAACTTCAGCTTCAGTATCAGTCCTTCCAATGAATATTCAAGGTTGATTTGCTTTAGGGTTGACCCTTTTGATCTCCCTGCCGTCCAAGGGACTCTCAAAGTCTTCTCCAGCACCACAGTTCGAAAACGTCAATTCTTTGGCTCTCAGCCTTCTTTATGGTCCAACTCTCACATCCGTACATTACTACTGAAAAAAGCATAGCTTTCACTAAATGGACTTTTGTTGGCCAAGCGATGTCTCTGCTTTTTAATACACTGTCTAGGTGTAATACACTTCGTCCAAAGAGGATCTTTAATTTCATATTTGCAGTCACGGTCTGCAATGGCTTTGGAGTCCAAGAAATCTGTCACTGCTTTCACTTTTTACCCTTCTATTTGTCGTGAAATGATGGGACCAGATACCATGATCTTAGTTTTTTGAATGTTGAGTTTTAAGCCAGCTTTTTTCACTCTGGTCTTTCACCCTCATTAAGAGACTTTTTAGTTCCCTTTCACTTTTTGCCGTTAGAGTGGTATCATCTGCATATCTGAGATTGTTGATATTTCTCCAGGTAATCTTGATCCCAGCTTGGGATTCATCCAGCCTGCATTTCCCGTGATGTACTCTGCATAGACTTTAAGCAGGGTGACAATATACAGCCTTGTTGTACTTCTTTCCCAATTCTGAACCCGTCCTTTGTTCCATGTCTTGTTCTAATTGTTGCTTCTTGACCCACATACAGGTTTCTCAGGAGACAGGTAAGGTGATCTTGTGTTCCCATCTTTTTAAGAATTTTCCACAGTTTGTTGTGATCCACACAAAGGCTTTAGCATAGTCAGTGATACAGAAGTAGATGTTTTTATGAAATTCCCTTGCTTTCTCTGTGATCCAGTGAATGTTGGCAATTTGATCTCTTGTTCCTCTGCCTTCATGTACTGTTGAAACCTAGCTCGAAAGATTTTGACATCATCTTACTAGCATGTGAAATGAGCTCAATTGTATGGTAGTTTGAACATTTTTTGGCCTTGCCCTTCTTTAGGGATGAGAACTGACCTTTTCCAGTCCTGTGGCCACTACTGAGTTTTCCAAATTTGCTGACCTAATGAGTGCAGCACTGTAAAAGCATCATTTTTAAGGATTTGAAATAGCTCAGCTGGAATTCCATCACCTCCTCTTGCTTTGTTTGCAGTAATACTTCCTAAGGCCCATATCACTTCACACTCCAGGGTGTCTGGCTCTAGGTGAGTGACCGCACCGTTGCGGTTATCCGGGATCATTAAGACCTTTGTTGTATAGTTCTTCTGTGTTTTCTTGGCATCACCGCTTAAGAGAGGTCTGCTTCTGTTAGGTCCCTGCTGTTTCTGTCCTTTATCATGCCCGTCCTTATGTGAAACGTTCTGTTGGTATCTCCAGTTTTCTCTCACCTAGATAGACTTTAATTTTTTTTTTGGAATTTATAGCATTTCTCTTTTAAGAGGAGTCAAATTTAGTCGGGCTTATTTTGTCTTGAAATTGATGCCTACTGAAAAGTGGCGTGAAACAACGAGGTAAGAGCACCCACTCTGGTGTTAAGACTGTCTGCATTTAGATTCTGGCTTTTGCATCTTTAACTGCATGACTTTGGGAAGTTATTTTGTAACTTTAGGAAGTTAGAAAGTTAATTTCTTTGTCTTTCCGTCTGTCAGCTGGGAATATAATAACTCACCTCATAGGATTGTTGAAGTGTTTAGAAAAGTACCTGGCACATGATGAATACTCAATAAATGTTAGCAATTATTCCAAATAACAAATTTGAAAAAGAAAACATTCTCTGTAAGTGATATTGATTAAATTCCCTTTGAATAGAAAATTCTGTACAAATTTAAAGCTAGACTGCTTTACAGTAGCTGCTATTTAAATTGTATATGCTCTTGCTCTGGGCATTATCTGAGCTTTGAGAACTATGTATTTAATTTATATATGGAGTTTTGTGCAAGATAATAGAGTGTGTCATACTTTGACCTGATGAAATTTAAATATAGTAATAACTCTTGTGAAAAAAATTTTAAAAGGGTAACCATGCCAATTGTAGTTTAATTGCTAAGAGTCCAACTCTTGTGGCCCCATGGACTGTAGGACACCAGGCTCCATGGGATTATCCAGGCAAGAATACTGGAGTAGGGTGCCGTGCCCTCCTTCATGGGATTTTCCTGACCCTCATGTCTTGCATTAGTAGGTGGATTCTTTACCACTAGCCACCGGGGAAGTGCAACTGTGCCAGTACTTGGGAATAATTTTTATAACTTTTAAATAATAACTCCTTTCAATTTCGGGGTTCTGTGAAATAGTTCGTTTCAATTAAACCAATACTTTCCTTAACAAAGAGTATTCAGCATTATAGTAGGGAAATTATACAAGAGAAATACAAAGAGCACAGTTTCAAAGTAGTTTAGTCTTACTGGGAAAAGAGGAAATGCACACCAAAAAAATAATACAAGGAAGTAAATGAATTTGGGCCAGAATTAGTGGTATAGACTAGGTGATCAAAGAGAGCTTGTATGGGCTGGTTTAGTTGCTAAGTCGTGTCTGACTCACTGTGACCCCAAGGACTGTAGCCCACCAGGCTTCTCTGTCCATAGGATTTCCCAGGAAAGAGTACTGGAGTGGGTTGCCATTGCCTTGTCCAAGGGATCTTCCTGATCCAGGGATTGAGCCTGTGTCTCCTGCATTGGCAAGTGGATTCTTGACCACTGACCCCTGAGGATGGGCTGGTGTATTATTAATCTCAAAGACTTTGCGGAACATTCTTGAGGGATTTTGTTAGACTCAAAATATTTACCCCTGAGACCTCCTTCTATACACACATGTACCCTGCTTCCAGGAATGAGCCACTGATACAGACACAGACAGAAGTGTGTAACATAGGTCTTCTGGGGGGGTGGGAAATGGCTAATAAAACCATGCTATTTGAAAGGGGATTAAATTCAAACATATTCTTAATGGAGATGGAATGGAAAAAGAACACCTGAGATAGGGAATATAGTTGATAGGCAGACACATGAAGATGAGAATGTGTTTATGTCTATGAGAAGGGTAAGAACAAGCTGAATTATGGCATAAAGAGAACCCAGCAGAAGAGGAGAATTTTTCTTACTACTGTAAAGTGTTTGTACAGGTGACTAATAATAAAGTGTTGTTTCCTTTTGTTTTGTTTTTTGTTTTTTCATTATTTTAAAAGTGCCATTTCTGAAAAGTGGATTGCCCTCAGATATGGAATGCTTGATTGTGGTAATAACACCCGGTTAAGGAAGTAGCTTTGGGATTGAATGGGGAAACTGAGGAAGAAAAAAATGCAAAAGAATATGCATAATGACTGTATGTTAAAAAGTAGAAGTGGGAGACTACTTAACCAAATTTAAATTAACTTAGAAAATTGACAGGAATTTGAAAATGGACCAGTTAGCTTTTAGAAGGAGGAGAATGGAAGGAGTTGAATTTAGTTTTGAACATACTGTGTTTGAGGTATCAGCAAGATGTTCATGAAGATAGCCTGTTAGCCAATGAGAAATACAGGACTTGGTTAAAAAGCCAAACTTGAGGCAGAGAGAGAGAGGGAGAGAGAAAGAATTCCTTTACAGTAGGGAGAAGAATCAGTGAAACTACAAACATGAATTAACTTCTTAAGTGTTTGGAATTCTGGTTTTATTTCTTTTTATGCAGACCATGGATTCTTATGATACACCAGAATTGACTCCTAGACAAGATGCTTCCTCAAGGCTTAAAGATTTCTTTATAGGCGCCACCCCTCTGCAGAAACGATTAGAATCAGTCAGGAAGCAGACTTCATTTATCGCAACTCCACCGCGAAGGAAAATCCCCCAGGGTTCACAACTGCAGGTATGTTTTTTGTGTTCCTTCGTGTTACCAGTAACTGAGAATGTCTGTGAACAAAACATTTAAATTTTTGTTACTGTTTATTATATATATATAATAAATATTTGTTACTAAAAGATACTTTTAGTGTCTTCTTACTCAAGTAATAAATGAGAAATGGTTAAAACAATTATTTGTGCTGTCAGTGCCATATGTTTTTTAACTTCCTTTAATTTGGAATGTTTCCACAATATTTCTCTTTTATGACACTGACAGTTTTGAAGAATATGTTTCCTCCTCTTCCTTTTTTAAATAGAATGTCCCTCATTTTGTATTGGGTACTGGAGTGGGTTGCCAGGCCCTCCTCCAGGGGATCTTCCCAACCCAGGGATGGAACCCAGGTCTCCCACATTGTAGACGGATTCTTTACCATCTGCGCCACCAGGGAAGCAATACAAAATGAGGAATGTTGTATTTGTGTGATGTTTTCTCAAGATTAGACAGAAGTTATGTATCGCTCACTGGAATATTGTATAGGTGCTGTTGTGTCTTTTTTGGGGGAGTAACACCTGATAGCACATAGGTGATGTTAATTTTGATCACACTGTTAGAAAATGTTGCCCCCAAATTACTGTTTTATCCCCCTGCAACTAATAAGCAGTCTGTGGGGAGACACTTTAAGATAATACATATATCTTGTGCCTTGTCAAAATTTCACCTTAAATTTAACATCCCTTATCCATTGATGTTTTTTGCTTGATCCTGTTTTTAAAAATTATTTATCTTAGTTTTTATTTATGTTTTAATTTTTTCAGTCTTACTGGTTATCTTTTTAAAATTAGTATTTATTGGAGTATAAATTGGAGTATAAAGTTGCTTTATAGCATTGTGTTAGTTTCTGTAGTACAGCAAAGTGAATCACCTATATATATACATATGTCCCCTCTTTTTTGGATTTCCTTCCCATTTAGGTCTCTACAGAGCATTGTGTAGAGTTGCCTAATTCCATCTTTATCATGTTGGTTGCAAAATAATGGTTTTCCATCTCTATTTGCTCTGTATTTTCCAGCTAGCTTTTGGTATTATATTTTAGGCCATTCTCATTTCTATTCCATTTATTTATCCATTTATCAGTATGGATTCAGTAAATCTTGTTTATCATTTAAAATTTATTTTTTTATTGGGGTATAATTGCTTTACAATGTTGTTAGTTTCTGCTGCACAACACAGTGAATCAGCTATACGTGTGTGTATATGTATCTCCACTTCCTCTTAGGCATCTCCCCACCCTGCCCAGCCCTCTCTGTCACCACAGAGCACTGAGCTGAGCTCCCTGTGCTACTCAGTAGGTTCCCACGAGGTGTCTCTTTTGTACCTGGTAGCGCACGTATGCAGTCCCAGTCTCCCAGTTCATCCCAGCTGCCCCTCCCCGCCATGTCCACATGTCCTTTCCCTATGTCTGCATCTCTACTCCTGCCCTGCATATAGCATCTGTACCATTTTTCTAGATTCCACATACCTTCATTAGTATACGATATGTATTTTTTTTCCCTCTTATTTACTTCAGTCTCTATGACAGACACTAGGTCCATCCATGTCTCTACAGATGACCTGATTCCATTCTTTTTTATGGCTGAATAGTATTCCATTATATATACGTACTACATCTTTATTCATTTGTCAGTGGACATTTAGGTCACTTCCATGTCCTGACTATTGTAAACTGTGCTAAAGTGAACTTTGGGTCTTTTTAAATTATGGTTTTCTCAGGATATATGCCCAGGAATGGGATTGCTGGGCCATATGGTAGTTCTGTTTTTAGTTTTTTTAAGGACTCTCCATACTGTTCTGCATAGTGGTTGTATGAATTTACATTCCCACCAGTAGTGCAAGAGGGTTTCCTTTTGTCCACACCCTCTCCAGCATTTATTTATTTATTTATTTTTAACAACTGATTATCAGTTTATTAAAAAGTTTGATCTAGGCATCAGCAGTGGTGACTTCCACCTCGACTCTTGGCTCAATGCTGACGGAAGTGATCTTCTTGACAATCTCACAGGGACTGTGCAGGTCAGTGAGTCGCTTGTGGATCCTCGTCTGGAATTGATCCCAAGTCTTAGAACCTTCACCACAAGGAGTTTTCCTCGTAGTTATTCTCAGAGTCTTGGTAGGCATCCGAAGAGGTCCTTTCACTTTGAGATTCTTTTCCTTCACGCCTCTGATCAGGTAGGCACATTCCTTCTCTAGAGACTTCAGGCTGCGACTGGTGAGGGTAATCCTAATCCAGTGAATGGCCACCTCTGGCTCCACAGGAATCTTGCTGGTGCCTTTAAAGGCCATGGCTGTGGTGCAGCTTCCTGACGGACTTGTTCGTCCACAAGAGCAAACAGTGGTGAACCATGAGCAGGGGCAGGTGGCGAGGGCTCTGCTGCAGTGGCAACCGTGTCTTCCTCAAAGAGTCAACATTTGATACTTAGAGATTTTTTTGATGACGACTATTCTGACCAGTGTGAGGTGATACCTCATTGTAGTTTTGTTCTGCATTTCTCTAATAATTAGTGATACTGAGCATCTTTTCATGTGTCTCTTGGCCACCTGTATATCTTCTTTGGAGATATGTCTATTTAGGTCTTCTGCCCATTTTTGATTGGGTGGCTTTTTTATTTTAATATTGAGCTTCATGAACTGTTTGTATATTTTGGAGATTAATCCCATGTCAGTTGCTTTGTTCGCAAATATTTTCTCCTGAGGGTTGTCTTTTCATCTCATTTATGGTTGTCTTTGCTGTGCAAAAGCTTTTTAAGTTTAATTAGGTCCCATTTGTTTATTTTTGTTTTTACTTTAATTATTCCAGGAGGTGGATCAAAAAAGATCTTGATGTGATTTGTGTCAGAGAGTTCTTGCTGTGTTTTCCCCTTTGTGATTCGTCTTACATTTAGGTCTTTAATCCATTTTGAGTTTATTTTTGTGTGTGGTGTTAGGGAGTATTCTGATTTCATTCTTATGAATTCCTGTTTTTGTTTTGTTTTTTTAATTTTTCTAATTCCTTACTAAATTATTTTGGTGTTTATATTGTCCCAGATTTGTCTAGTGGCAATATGCTGTTTTGATCATTCATTAAAAACCCTAAATCTTGTATATAACATTCATGATTTGTAATTTTATTGAAGCATGAAATAAAGCCCTAGTGAATACAAGTCTGATGGATGCTTCTGAGTCAGTTAGCAAGAAGTCTGACCAATCAGTCACCCACACCTTCCTTATAACTTTGTTTTCTTTTTTCTGTTGTAGGTCTAGTATCTTTTGGGATATGGGAACATTTTTGCTTCTTTATGAAAACTTCCTTAAAAATTCCTAGTCCTGGTAATGAAAGTGATAGCTTTTAACCAGAAAACAGAGATTGTATATAAATTCAAGAATGGAATGTCCGGTTCAGTGTTTCCTTTTCTCTATGTGATACAGATAATTTTGCCAAATCTTTTTTTGGTTGCACCAGTGGGCTTGTGGGATCATAGTTCCCTAACCAGAGGTTGAACCTGGGCCCCTGCAGTGAGAGTACCAAGTCCTAACCACTGGACTGCCAGGGAATCTCCCCTCAACCTTTTTTGCCCCAAATCTTTTGATAGTAATAAGAAAAAAGATGTAGGGACTTCCCTGCTGGCCTAGTGGTTAAGACTCTGAGCTCCCAATGCAGGGAGCCCAGGTTTGACCCCTGGTCAGGGAACTAGATCCCACATGCTGCAACTAAGACCTGTTGCAGCCAAATAAATGAATAAATATAAAAAAAAATAGGACACAATAATCTGTCCATCAATTAAAAAGTAGAAAAAAATCCAGTAATATGCAGGAATCCTGAAAAAAAAAAAAGATTTATAACTTTTCTGTGAGTACTTCAGTCAGGACAAATGTTTCTGTCAGGTGGACATCTGTGTTGAAAGTTCTAAAAGAGAGGTGGAACTGTGAGACTATATCAGGAATTATGGATTCTATAGAAAATTTCAATTCACGATAAAACTAGGAGCTTATACGGGGGTGTATGTGAAGACTCTCAACAATGCCACAGGGCCAGTACAAATGAACTATTTTGTTTTTGATGGTACCTGTGATTCCAAAAATACAGACAAGTACATAATGTCAGATAATGCTGTGGGAAGGAAAAAAAAAGACATATTAAGGAGATATAGAGTGACACAGTTGGAATGGATGCAGGTGCTGCTTTGGATAGGATGCCCTCTTGAGTGACATTCAGGCAGAGACCTGAAGAAAGGAAAGGACCATGTCCTGTAAACACTCTGGGAAGAACATCAAAAAGGGAAGGCACAGCAGATGCAAAAGTCTGTTCAAAGATCTTCAAAGAGTCCTACAAACTCCGTTTGACTGGAATGCGAAGATCAGGTACCCAGTACTGGAATGTGAAGATCAGGTACCCAGTAATAGATCTGTATTAAATACTTAAAATACTGTGATAAGTTTTTAGTTTCCAAATTCTTTTTTTAAAATTTTATTTATTTGTTTATGACTGCACTAGCACAGGAGCTTAGTTGCTCTGAGGCGTGTGGAATCTTCCCGGACTGAACTGGTGTCCGCTGTATTGCGAGGCAGGTTCTCAGCCACTGAACCGCCAGGGAATCCCCTGTTTCCTCATTCTCTGACTTCTTTTGTCTTGATTTTTTTTAGGAAGATGTTGATCCTCAAAAGTTTGCATTCCTTCTGCATAAACAATGGACTTTATATAGTTTAACTCCCTTATATAAATTCTCCTATACTAATTTCAAAGAGTACTCTAAACTTCTGAATGCATTTATTGCTGCTGAAAAGCAGAAAGGACTTGCTGTGGAAGTGGGAGATGACTTCAACATCAAAGTGATTTTCTCTACTCTCATGGGATTGAAAGGAACACAAAGAGATCCTGAAGCATTTCTTGTCCAGGTATATCGTGAAAGCCATACTTGCTTCCTAGGAGAAAAGAATGTGCATTGTTTTGGTTTAGAAATTGTACTATATTCTTACTGTCTTTAAAATTCTCAAGTGTGTGATTTATAACCTATGTTATATCTTGTTTGATTAAATTATAACAATTAGATTTTTCCTTTTTCAATATAACCATGTTTCTTTTAAGAAAACTTAAATATTTAAGTACAAAGTTGAAAACCATAGGATAACATTTTGGTATACATCTGTTTGGCAGTAGACAGTCTGAATAGACCTAGGCCTAGTAAAGAAATGGAGTCAATAATTAATAACCTTCCAAAACAGAAAGCAACAGGTCTGGATGGGTTCACTGGTGAATTCCACTCAACATTTAGAGATGAGGTTATACCAGTTTCCTACTAACTTTTTCAGAGGCTAGAAGCAGAGGTAACACTTCTAAGGGGAAGGCCAGTATTACCCTAATACCAAAACTAGGCAAAGATATTGTAAGAAAACTGCAGACTCCATCATGAACTTAGATACGTCTGTTTGGCTATTTGTATCTATTGAAATCATGATCATATTGTCCACAGTTTTGCAATATGATTATGGCTTTTTTTTTAAACTAATAATCTGCACTGTAACTAGTTAACTCATGTCATTTTGAGTAACTAAATGTAAATTTTGCATTTTTGTAAATTTATATTTCTGTGGTTTTTACTGGGATTAAAATCCTAGAAGTAGATATATCGTATCAGATTACTCTTACAAATGTAACATTTACATTCCTTCCTATATGTAGTGTATAAAAATAGTATGACTATCCTTTGTTTTATTAAGAAACCAGATTTATTATTTATGCCTGCTACTTCTGTTTCTGCTGAATTAACTCATTTTAGTCATTGGTAAGTTCTGAAACAGTTGAAATTCTGTTTGTTTGATTAGGGGTCAGCAAACTATGACCTGAAGCCCAGATACAGCCTGCTGCTTGGCTTTGTTACGTTTTCTTGAGATAGAGCCCCGGTCACTTGTTTTCCTAGTCTGTGGCTGCTTTTGTGTCCCAACAGCAGAGCTGAGGAGCTGCTGCAGAGACCGTATAGCTTGCGAAGCCTAAAGCGTTTACTTTCCATCTGACCCTCTACAGACAAGGCTTGCTGACCCCTGGTATAGATTATGCTATTGGCAAGGATTTCAGGACTATTGGGATTAGGTTCAGGTGCATATAACAGAAAGTCTAAATAACAGTGAATTAAAGACGATAGAGGTTTAGTTAGCTTGCAAAAAAGTGTCCAGGGGAAAGCTTTTCAAGGCTGATAAATGCTTCATGAAATTATTGATAATCTAAGCTCCTTCTGTCTTCTCTATCATCCTTGGTGCATGGCTTCCATGCTTATGGTCTCACTGTAATCTAAATTGGCTCCTGGAGTTCTAAATATTATATGTAAGTTCAAGGCAAGAAGGAGGAGGAGGATGGGAAGGGCAGATGGGTTGCCTGCCACTGAGTAAATTTTGAATGAGACTTGCTGAGAGCCAATAGTAACTTCTCTTTACATCCCAGTTGGAAGGGAGACTAGGAATTTTTTTTAGTAGGTACTTTTCTAGCCCAAGTAAAATCTCTGTATTATTGTGGAAGGAAAAATAGATACTGGGTAGATAATTAGCAGTCTCTGTCAAGTAAAGCAGTTGATGCCTTAAGAAGTTACATGGTTTGCATGTCATCAAGCAAACAAATATTCTTGTGAGAAATAGAAATGACCTCTTGAATTCCTAGTGTAGTATCCTGATAGTTTTCAAATTAAATCTGTTTCTTGACAGAGTTTTAGGACTTTTAGATTATGAAAATATGATAGACATACTATATCTGGACTTTAAAGTATTTGAAAGTCTTAAAACTTTTTGAACAGGGAGGAGAATGGTCAAAGTAATTGACCATGATTGTCTCTAAAGGGATATAATATAGGGCTGTGATCTTCACCTTGTCCTGGTTGAACTTCATTTAAAACTTCTATAACTATCTGCAAGGTATGTTTGTTATATAATTTACAGATTTGACATTTGAGGGGTTAGTCAATCTACTGGAAAATACAATCAAGGTTCTAGAAGATCTGAATGGATTGGCACAGTGGGTCAAATTTAAAGAGATTAAAATTTTAATAGGTATACATTTATTGCCTTAGTATGAGTTGTGGGGGGTGGGGGATTTACTTTTTCACAACAAAAATGAGTATGTAGGGCTAATTTATGTAACGTTTTCAACTAAAAACCAGAAAACTACTGCAATCTAAGGTTAGATTAGTAGGAGTATAATACAGGTTAAAGGTGGTAACAGTTCTGTAATCAGACGTTTTTGAAGTATTTACGTTCACTTACGAATGACTCCTGTGCCAAAGGTTTTCAGAGAAGTGTGTCCAAATAGTGTGAGCACTTGAACGTATGTCATAGGAAGAATGGTTGAAGAAACTGGTGATATTGACCTTTGCAACATATGAAAGAGACCGTCAAATATTTGCAGGGCTTTTTCTGTAGAAGAGAGATTAGATCAGATTTGATCTATATGCACGTAAGGAAAAAAGTAGGCCCAGTGGTTGGAAACTATGGGGCTTAACACACAAAAGAGCATTTTAAGTGAATAGACAGAGCTGCCTTAGGAAATAGTGACATCTTTCCCAGTGGAATAATTCCAGCACATTGGAATTTTTACTTTTACTTTTTCAGTCCCTTTTTTTCAGGCCTTTTACTTTTCAGTCCCTTCTCAGGTTGAGATTTTTTTTTGGGGGGATACTATTCCTGATTATACCTTATTGATATTCCTTATTTTGCGTTTGGTTGCACCAAGATCTTGCCATATACCTTGTCCTAATCAGAGTATTAGGAGAAAGGTCAATTAACTTGAAAATAAACCCTAATAATGATTAGGGAGACAATTCTCTGTGTGGTTTTTGGCAGGTAATATTAATTCATCGTATCTTCTTAATTTTAAATGTACTATACTAATTAATGATGAGAAGATGTAATTTAGGAGTCAGTGTACTTTTGTTTTTTAGTTTATTTATTTATTTTTGGCTACATTGCTGTACGAGGATCTTTGTTGCCTGTGAAGGCTTTCTCTAGTTTTGGCGAGTTGGGGTTATTTTCTATTTGGCAGTGTGAGGGCTTTTCATTTTGTGGCTTCTCTTGTTGCAGAGCATGGGCTCCAGGGCACAGGTCCAGTGGTTGTGGCTCATGGGATTAGTTGCCCCAAGGCATGTGAAATCTATCCTGGCCAAGGATCCAGCCCTTGTCCTGTGCATTGGCAGGTGGATTCTTAACCACTGGAATTATTCTGTGAAGTCCAGAATAAATGTACTTTTGAATTTAATGAACCTGTTTGATTTTCCTTCATAGATTTTGTCAAAATCTCAATTGCCATCTGAGCACAAAGAAGAGAAAGTGTTGTGGACTGGTTGGTTCTGCTGTGTATTTGGAGACAGTCTTCTGGAGACTGTTTCAGAAGATTTCACCTGTCTACCCTTATTCCTTGCAAATGGTGCAGAGACTAATACAGCTATAATTGGAACCTGGTTTCAGAAAACTTTTGACTGTTACTTCCGTCCCTTAGCAGTCAATGCATTTAATCTTTCCTGGATGGCTGCTATGTGGACTGCATGCAAAATGGACCATTATATGGCCACTACTGAATTACTTTGGTCTGTACCCTGTAGCCCTCATAGTCTGGACATTTCTTATGCCATACATCCGGAAGATGCAAAAGCTTTATGGGACAGTGTTCACAAAACACCTGGGGAAGTTACCCAGGAGGAAGTTGACTTGTTCATGGACTGCCTGTATTCACATTTCCATAGGCATTTCAAAATTCATTTATCAGCCACAAGATTGGTTCGTGTTTCAACATCTGTAGCTTCAGCACATACTGATGGAAAAATAAAGGTTAGTTTGAACTAAAATCTAGTTATTTTTCCTTATTTCTGCATAGTTTTCAGAATGCATAGCAATTATATTTTCCACGTTGAAGAAATACTTTGGAATACTCAGAATTCAATTTCATGAAGTCCTTATATGTTTTTAAATATTACTTCCATATGCTCACATTCTATTAAGTATATTTTCAAACTGTTTTATATAGTGTGTTCGTATCCATCTGTGAATATGAGGGTGGCCCTGTTTTATTTGGACTATTCTAAGAACCTCTCTTAATGATGTAAGACAGTAATTGTGGTTCCTAGGTTCAAATAATGCCATGATAATAGCTAACATTTGTCAAGCACTACCTGTGCCAAGCATTATTAAGCATTTTTATACATATTGTCCCATTTAGTTTTCATAACAACCTGCTTGCACAGGTTGTAAAGAGGAAATTGTGGCACAGAGGATAAGTAGGCTCCCTAAGAATCACACAGCTAATAAGTGGAGTTGAAATTTAAACCCAGGCATCTGACTCAAAGGCTTTTATACTTTTAACTGGAATACTGTACTGCCTTTCAGAAGTTTGAAGTTAATGTGTTAACTAAGTTTCTGCCTCTGATTTGTTTCTACAAGACATTTTTGGCGTTGTGTATACCTTTTGGCGTTGTGTATACCTTTGAGAGGTGGTGAAGAGCCTTTACCTAGTGGTAAAGAGCCTGCCAATGTAGGAGACATAAGAGACGTGGGTTCAATCTCTAGGTCAGAAATATCTCAGAGGACATGGCAACCCACTCTAGTATTCTTGCCTGGAAAACCCCATGGACAGAGGAGCCTGGAGGGCTACAGTCCATTGGGTTGCAAAGAGTCGGACACGGCTGAAGCAACTTAGACACACATACATACCTTTGAGAAGGAAGCTATGAAACTCTTTCCAGAAAGTGGAGATATATAAGTCCAAGGGGTTCATAGATACCGTTCCCCCACCCCCTCTCTTTAAGCAGGTAGGTAGCTAATCAGTGGAAACCAGGATAAATAAGAATCTTAATCTAATTCCTTCTAAGCACCATTGACTAATAGTTACTAATTTAGTAAAGTCAGGCATCTTTATTAAGTAATCTGTTTGGTTTAGAATAACAATAGTTTAGTTTCCTATTCATAGCTTAGTTTATAGATACGGAATTTAAAATAAGCCTGGAATATTTATCAAATATCAAACTACATTATTATAATTAATTGTATTTTAATTTAATTTTAATAAAATTTAATTTTAATTGTCTTTTCTTCCCCAGATTTTGTGTCCTAAATACCTCATTGGAGTGCTGGCGTATTTGACAGAACTGGCAGTTTTTCAAATTGAGTGAGGTCTTATGGGGACTATAAGTTGTGGATTAAATACCTTTTTCTCACAGACTGTCTGCTTAATTGCTATGCTGAGAGGGACTACAGGAGAAATGGGCGTCTATCCATCTGTTTTCCTCACAGTGCCTTGGAGTTACCCCGGTGAAAGCCAAGAAGGATCTAGAAGAACAAAGAAGGGGTAGTGGATGAACCACAGCCAGGTGACTGTGTAATAGTCATGATCGTCTGGGATTCTAGTCTCTATAGACTATGTGGAGTTGTTAATTTGTTGGCCATTTTCCTCACAAATATATGTTTATTATGTCAGACTTTTTAGGATTCAAATCAAATACCTCTAAAACTGAATATTTTTGGTTTGCATCTTTAAAACCTTTAATCCCTATTTTTAAGCATTTTAGACTTGTATTCAGAGAGATTTTCTGTCTTCTACAGACATTTTCCTAGCATCATTTTGCTGTAGACAACTGGCAATCAAAATCCTCTCCATAAGAAACTAAAGTTGCTATCCTTTTTAAGTCACTAACATCCTTCTGTTTTTAACTGTTTAATTCTTATTGCAATGTCGAATTAAATATTCAGTTTTAAAATGAAATCTTGTGTTTCTTTATCAGTGTCTTGATGACAAACCTTTATTTAATGTGCTAGGAATGGGAAGTTATAGGCTTTTTCTCTATAAAGGTTACAACAATGGCTATGTGGAATCATACAAATCAGAGAGTTGAAAGACAGCTGTGAGTCTCTTGAGGGCAGGGATTGTTTTATGTAACTTTCATGTCCTTAGTTTTATTTTAGCACAGTGCTTACAAAATATCTGTAGATTAAGTGAATTAATTTTAACCTACTCTTCCATTTTATAGATGAAAACTGCAAAATAATGCAACACAGACTTGCATAAGATGTTATGTCTGAAACTTCTTTTTACTCACTGAGCAGAGGAAAATTTTGTTTAACTTAAGAAAAAATGTTTTTTAAAATCTTGGAAAGAAAATAAGTTTAATAGGCTGTGATTAAAAAGCTAAGACTAACTTCTGGAATGGGGTATTGTTTCACATATACTAGGAACAGCAGAGGTAGTGAAACAAGCATGGGCTTTGCAGTCAGACATTCCTTAATTCGACTAATATTAAGCTCCTTCTCTGTACTTAGAATTGTATTGGATTATAAGAGATTTAGTAGTGAGGATAAAAAAAGCCCTGTCTTACAGAAATTATATTCAAGGAGAGGAAGGCAAAAAATAAATAATTTCAGGTACAGATAAATGCTATAAATAAAGCAGTGCAATAAGAAGAAGAGTGACTGGGATGGGGCCTATTTTATATACAGTTGTCAAACAATGTCTCTGGGGAGGTGACGTTTGAGCTGAGTCCTAAATGATGAGAGAGGACCAGCTGTATGAAGATGTGAGGAAGTGGGTGCTAGACAGGTGAAACCGCAAGAGCAAAGGCCTTGAGAAAGGTAAGAACTTTGCTTCTTTGAGGAATAAAGGAAGTTTGTGTGGTCGGAGCATGGGGAGGATGGGTGGAGTGGCATGAGATGAAACTAAAGAGATTGTTCAGCAGAGACTTACTTATGCCATGGTGTTATGTCTCCCAATTTTCACCTGGGCATGCAGCTGCCCAGTATAAAGATGACATTTTCTAGCTTTTCTCAGGTAGGTATAGTCAAATGACCAAGTTCTGATCAATGGCATAAAAATGCAAGTGTCATATAGATCTTCTAGGAGCTTAATAAACAGGCATGCATCCCTTGCCCTTTTCTTATTTTTCTTCCAGTTTTGCTGTTTGGAATGCATATAATGACTGGTTCTCTAGCTGCTTTTTTTAGGTCATTAGGGTGAGTGTCAGGTCCTAGGGATGGCAGAGTGTGGCCTGGAAGGAGTTTGTGCCCTGAGGACTTTTTTTGGCTAGGCTTGGTCTTGGGCCTTCCCAGATGGCTCAGTGGTAAAGAATCTGCCTGTCAATGCAGGAGACCTGAGTTTGATCTCTGGATCTGGAAGATCCCCTGGAGGAGAAAATGGCAACCCACTCCAGTATTCTTGCCTGGAAAATTCCATGGACAGAGGAGCCTGGCAGGCTGCACTCCATGGGGTTGCAAAGAGTCAGAAATGACTGAGCACACATACACACATGCTGGGTCTTGGTTGAGGTCTGTGGGCTCTTCATTGCAGCACACAAACTTTTCTAGTTGTGGTGAGGGCTTCCCTAGTTGTGGCATGCGGGCTTAGTTGCCCTGAGGCGTGTAGGGTCTTAGTTTTCCAACCAGGGATCCCAGTCCCCTGCACTGGAAGGCAGATTCTTATCTGTTCCACCAGGAAAGTCCCCCTGAGAACTTGAAGCTGAACCCCAGTGCCGTTCTTGGATGGTCTTTCTCCAGACTTACGTATCAGAGATGTGAACTTCTGTCTTGTTTAAGCTCTTGTTACTTTGGTTCTCTTGCTCACAGTCCAAACCTAATTCTAAGTGATAGAGGAGGGGTCCACATCATTTAAGTTTTTACTGGTACTGTGAAGAAACTGGATTTTATTCTAAATGCCATGGAGAGCCATTGACCTTTTAAGCAGAAGAGTTAATGTGACCCAATTTGTATCTTACAAGATTTTATAAGATATAATGGAGAAAGAGTTGTAGGAACCAAGAGTGGAAAAGGAGAAAAAGTTTACTAGAAATGGTGCTCCTCATGGGGAAGTTAGCAATATCTAGCAAAATTATGTGTGATTTACCCTTTGGCTAGCAATCCCACTTGTGGGATTCTGTCCCCAAAATTCACTAGCAAAAATACAAATTGAAGTGGGAATGAGGCTATTTACTACAACGGTATATGTAATAGCAAGACTGGAAAAAAAAAAATCCAAATGCTCATCAGAGAGGGATTGATTGAATAAAATTATGATATGTTTGCATAGTGAATTACTACTATGTAGTTATAAAAGGGTTTGCGGAAGATAGCTAATATTGCCATGGAGTTATCTCTAGGATATAGTTATGTGAAAGAACAAGATGAGGACAGAGTGTATAGTATGCTTTTATGGAAGGAATGGGGTGGGGAATATGAGTATGTGTGTGTATTTCCTTCCATTTTCAGAAACAATGGAAGGATAAACCAAAAACTAGTAAAAGTGATTGCTAGTGGGATGAGGGGAACCAACTGGGTAGAGAGGGGACAGGAATAAATTTAGAAGTTTTCTGAATATTCCTTGTTTATAGTTTGGAACCATCTAAGTGTTTTATATAATTACAAAACAAAATTAGATGAAAATGAAAAAAAAATCCTTAAAACTTGAAAACAAACCTATGATGTTTAGGCCATAAACATACAAAGAATTAGTTTAGTCTCTGAATCCTTGTATTTTGACTATACATTGTGAGTGGGCTATATCCGAGGAAAAGATTCCTAGCAAAGGAATCTTAAATTGCATTCAGTTACCTTATTAATAATATCAGTACTGTTTACCAGTATTCACAGGTGGTTCAGTAAAGAATCCGCCTGCAATGCAGGTGACATGTGTTCAGTCCCTGGGTTGGGAAGATCCCCTGGAGAAGGAAATGGCAACCCTCTCCAGTATCCTTGCCCAGAAAATCCCATGGATGGAGGAGCCTACATGGTAGGCTACAATCCATGGGGTGACACAGTTGGACATAACTTAGCAACTAAACAACAACAACATTGTTATTTTATCACTGTTCATGATAAAATATATGTAATTATAACAGTGTTAGAAACCAAGATTTTCAGTGTATGAGTGTATAATTTAACACAATTATAAGATCCAGTTTAGTAGAAACTCTATAATGTTAAATTTGAATCGGAAATAACAACTCATTTATTTTTGTTTTTTTATATAATTTTATTTTTTATTTTTCCATTTATTTTTATTAGTTGGAGTCTAATTACTTTACACTATTGTAGTGGTTTTTGCCATACATTGACATGAATCAGCCATGGATTTACATGTGTTCCCCATCCCGATCCCCCCTCCCTCCCCATCCCATCCCTCTGGGTCATGCCAGTGCACCAGCCTCGAGCACTTGTCTCATGCATCCAACCTGGCCTGATGATCTGTTTCACACTTGATAATATCTATGTTTTGATGCTGTTCTCTCAGATCATCCCACCCTTGTCTTCTCTCCATAGAGTCCAAAAAATATGGAACGCTTCATGAATTTGCATGTCATCCTTGCGCAGGGGCCATGCTAATCTTCTCTGTATCGTTCCAATTTTAGTATATGTGCTGCCGAAGCGAGCACAGAACTCATTTATTTTTGAAGTGGAGAAGTTTTAAATTTTGATGAATCCCAGTTTGTCAATTTTTTTTCCTTTTGTGTTTTGTGCTTTAGGTGTGGTATCTCAGCATTGCTTAGTTCAAGGTCCCAAAGATTTATTCCTATGTTTTCTTATATGAATTTTATAACTTTGGCTCTTAAATTTAGATCTATAATACCTTTTGAGTTTTTATGTATGGTGTGCAGTAAGCATTCAAATTAATCATTTTGCATATGAATATTCATTTGTTCCAGTACCATTTACTGAAAAGACTATTGTTTTCCTATTGAATTGTCTGTTACCTTTCTTAAAAATCAATTGGCCATAAACATTTGGGTATATTTCTGGACTCTGAGACTTATTTCATTGATCTAAATAATCCCTATGCCAGTACCACACTGTCTTGATTACTGTAGCTTTGTAGTCTGTTGAAATCAAGAAGGTGAGTCTTCTAGCTTTGTCCTTTTTCCAAGATTGTGTCGGTTTTTGTTTTTTTACATTGTCATAAGAATTTTAGGATCAGCTGGTCAATCATTGTAAAAAAGCTGGGATTTTGATAGTAATAGCTTTGAATCTGTAGATTAATTTGAACAGCATTGCCATCATAATGGTACTAAGTTTTCTAACCTATGAGCATGGGCTACCTTTCCATTCATTTAAACCTTTCAAGATTTTTTTTTTCCCAAGATTTTATTATACAGTGTTTTATCATTTTCAGTGTCCAAGTATTGCACTTTTTTGT